TAAAAGATCCATTTGAATTGAGAAAGTGTCTCATTTCAGGTTTCACCTAGTAAGCTACCATTCAGCACTTGTGTTGAGGTCGCTGCGCCCTCCAGCACAGAGATGTGGAGCAGCTCAGGCCCATGACAGCTTTGAGTTTGTGAAACTTTTGCCTGAGTTGCTGAAGTGAAAGTGACGGAAATAAACAGCCTACAGGGGATGTTACAGACTATCTGGTGGAGGAGGTGGTGCCATTTCCCACAACAACTCAAATTTGACAAGCAATACAAGTTTCATGGAAAACCTGCTTCTGGCTCTCCATCATCCAACTCCCATACAAAACTTAACTTAAACACAATATTGCTATAAGGATCCATAGTTATGCCCTATAATGTTTCCTAGAGTTTCTTAACTTTGTCTGAGGTTGAAACCAGTGCCGTTTGGGTTGCTGAAATCAGATATCCTCTGTAGGAACTTGTAATTGACAGTAACGAGAGGCATTTAAAGTAACAGGATGTTAACAAAACATGACAGTAAAACAATCAAAACAGCAAAGTCATTTGTTCATGTTTTAAAGAAATCTGAGTGGGAAGATCTCACAGTATAAACGTACCATTTCACTGACAGAGTATCTGCATAAAAACTCAATGGCACAATCTCTACAGCTCAAGAGCCTAAAAAGTTGGTAAATGCTAAGTGGTCAAGGCTCAGAACAGAGCTGTGATCAAAGCCTCCTCCAGGTTAGCTCAGTCAGCGCCTCACTGTAAAAATCGTTTTAAAACTTATTTGAATATAATTTCATCACAACCATGCTGCATTGTATTTTTCTGGACTATTTTCTACTGCTGTTTGTTAGACCTCATGGCTTTCTCCTTTTCCACTTACTTTGTCATATCCTTTCTGCTGTAATTTTAACAGTGGCTCATAATTAAAACTTTTGAGCACTTTGATCATTTTCTCTCTCTTTTACATGCACATAATTGGAGCAGAATTGCTCACACACTGTCCAGCTCCTGATTCACTGCTCTGATAGAAAAAGAGAGAAAAGAAGAGACCTTGGCCGGCAGATGGATGTGTGAATGGGAACCTTTTATTTCTTAATCCACCTGGAAAAGACTGATGATGATTGAAGGGTTTAATCTCTTTGCTTGTGTCCATGTCTTAGTCCTTTTCCCTACAACAAGACCCACCTACTGGTAATTGTGGAAGTATTATGATGAAAAATTTAACAGAAAATAGTATTTAAGGTTTATTTGACATGCTCATTCTCCAGTGTACTCTGGGTATTAGAGCACATTATTCACATTTAACTTGTTATAAATCCAACAGTCCATCTGAATATCTGTTGAGCTTCTACAATGCCCCATTTGCATGTAAAGCCATAAGTCATGGTGTTTTGATGTCAAACAACCAAGATTATGATAACATCATCTACTGTGTAGATCATACCCCATGTAAACAGATGACATTTTAAATTCTCAGTCAGAAAGATTGAAAAGAAAAAAAAGTATAGAAAATAAGGTCATGGTTAACCCACCTGTTGACAAGCACAGTTGTATTTTTCAACCCCGATTGCTGTGACAACTGTGGAATAAAAACAGCTGATACCACAAGTATGTTTAGGACACACAACACTAAACTTCACTGGTCATGAGTTTAAAAAAAATATGTTGCCAATGCAAAAACACTGTCAGTGGACAAAGGCCCTAATAAGAATTACTGCTGTTTTTTTTTTTATAAACTATTTTACAAACACTGAAAAACAAAATAGAAGCCCTGTGTTATGCACTGAAGCTTCATACTTTAAAGCACTATAAGAAGAAATTATTTTATTAAGATGTGTGCTGCATTATTTAAAGTCATAAATATTCATTCAGGCATGCTTTCTACAGAGCAGCCTCTAAGAAGCAAAACAGTACAAACAAACAAAGATGTTAAGGTTTAGAGTTTTACTTCAAAAGCACACATCATATCACTAAAGCCAGGAAAGAGAATGGTCTTGGGAGAAAATCAAGTATGAGAAATGCAATGAGGTAAGGGGAGAGGTGAGGGGGTGTTCAAAGTAGGTGAGAGCACAGTGGAGTGTAGAGAGTGGAGAGATCATGATTCTGCTGGTGATATAAGGTTTAACTTTAAGCCTGCAGATTTCGATCTTTGATGGAAAATGTGTAGTTCAGGTTCAAGTATGTTAACAAGAGTATGAAAGAGCAGGTATTACAAGATGTAACATCAGTCATTCTGGGTCCAGTGTGTGTGCACAGAGTCTCAACAAGCTCTTACTTACCCCTTCTATCTTCTTAAAAACAGCATTTAAACGCGCCTCCTTGATCTGGAGAGAAAAACAAATAAATTGGAGTCATTTGTTCTTAATGTCTTCATTTAGAGACCCAGCACAACCATGGTTCACCTACAAAGGTGTTTTCACTTGATTAGTTTGATCAGGGCTTTGCCTCAGACTGTGTCCTAAATCTCTAAATATCTGTGCACCTCTTAAATATACCTTTATTATTCTAATCAGGAAAAGCTACCCTTAGTAAACTCCAGTTTAGATGCATTTAACTTGTGCTGAAGTATGAGAAACATCATAGATCTCTCTATGTGAGCCTTGGAGGTCCAACTGCCATTCAAAGCACACCGTCATATCATGGTTGCACAGGATACCAAAGTGAGAATATTTTGGTTTGAAACAGCCCACTCAAAAACTAAACTGAATCACCAAGATTTTCTTAGAGCGTAACCTTTGTATTCCCCTTAAAAACTTCTCTGACTTCTGCTTCAGAAGCACTAAGCAGGGCTGTGTTTGCTTTGGAAAAAAAATAATTCCCACTCTACACTCCTCCACTTGCATCTGTACAAAACTTGAATGAAACCGTCATTTTGGGGGGGTAATTCTGGGGAAATGTAACTGCAGTGATTATTTCCACCTACTGCTGTCACACAGCTGGGAGGCTGTTTTTTCTTTGTTAGGTTTTTGATTACATGTCTTCACTGTACAGTAAAAAAAATCCTGTTTTATTGAAGAAATGACCATAAGTGCTATAAAATTCAGACACATGCATGGATAATCACCAGTTACTGTTCTAATTGGAAATCTTGTCCAGAGACCAGAGGCTGTGATTGGTGTCGTGCTGCATATTTCCAATTACAGATCTGACTGTAACTTTGCAATGTATAGGCACTCAACACATGCATGCCATGTATATTCAAACGGCATATTATCATAACATGAATCTCTTTATCATTTATTACCATGTATTTCAAAGCATCTAGGTATTTGTAACATCTATTGTAAACATCCCTGTGGTTGGCCGATACTCTGCTGGCATATTTAGAATATCTTTGATGGTTCATAGATATTGTTTCAGGAAAAATAATGAAAATAGAGGGGGGAAAAAATGTCAATGTTACAGCCCTTATATAACAAGTAAGCATGAAGCCAAGAAGAGGTATAAACAATGTGGAAGGATGAAGGCTGTGGTACTTCTGGCAGAAAGTAAGAACTACTTTCATTCAGGGACCGCATAAATTACATTTTTTGATATACTAAGTGAGGGATTTTTGAAGGCCGTCAGACACCAGTACTGAGGGTTACTCATGGTGATCTTTGAATCATCATCATGCAGCAGTTTTTCGAAAAGGTGAAGCAAGTTTTTATTTTTTTTATTTATTTATTTATTTTATTTTTTATTTTATTTTATTTTTTTTTATTTTTTTTGGGGGGGGGTCTTTTTTGGTGTAACACAATATACAGCCACTGTGACCAACAAAGTCAAACACTTAGTCACAGTGGTTACAGTTTGTTACAGTTTTTGTGTCCTGACCATGGTCCTGACACATCAGGAGGTAGTTCAACAAACCCCTAAGATATCCAACATGTAATCATTAACAGATAGCAATTAAAAGACAGCCTCCATCTTTTACAGAAACAATTCGTTTGTTCAGTGTGCTTCTTTCAATATGTTTTTCGAGCCTTTTCTTGACATTTTGACAATTTTTTTTTTTATATCGTCCTTCTTCCTTCCCTCAATTTGTGTTTTAGTGATTATGTTCAACTCCATGAGGCCTAATCAGGAGATCCAAACATGTAAAAATAAAGATAACCCTTTAATCATTCCTTGTGGTAAATTTGCAATAAACACAGTTAAGATTGTCAAAGAGTTTCTTACTTTATTATATTTCTAATGTGTTAATGGTTCATTATTTACAGAGAATATGTTTATATCATTTTATGCGGTACTATAATGAACAGAGCTCACTGTCACTGGGTGCGCTACACACAAATACACAAGGCCCACATAACACACGCAGCCTACTTGTAGTCTATAGTCTACACACAACAGTCTCTATCCAATAAACTCTTCTCCTCCTTCCCTTCACTGGGGTCTCTTTTTCTGACACAAACTCTTTTGTTTACCTGTTAGTCAGATATGTTGTCAGGGCTCTCAAGTTTTGAACTAAGCTTAGAGTGAGATTTTAGTTAGAAGTTATTATTTGGGAGAATAAAGTCATTAATATCTCAGTATTAAGTCGTAAAGTTACCTGTTGTGAAGGAGAGTTGTTAAAATCAGCACTGTGGAACATTTAGATGAATTGTACTTTTGTATAGGTGTCACAAACATGGAGATACTTAATCCTTTGGTACATGAGCATTACACTGTCATGAGTATCAGAACTTATATTTGAGATATATGAGAAATGCTGCTTTTGCGGAGGGGAAAATGGCTGGAAATGGCTGTACAGAGACTAAATCCGTCAATACAGCTGTTAATAGCAATAGCATAGGGCTTTAGTTTATCATATGAGTTTATATGCCATGAGGTGTTGAGGTCTCTGCATGTGTAGGTTACTGACTTACTGTAATCATCGGGTCTATCTCGTCCTTATAAATAACCTGCTCTATTACGGCGAGTGTCTGTCTTCTTCTGTAGTCAAACCGCAAGATATCAAAATCTACCCGGATACAGAAATGCTGCTTTTTGATTGGCTGTTCAGTAGATATACTTTATTTGATTGGCTTGCGCGTGGCACGCAGCTTCTGAACTCTCGGAGGAACTCAGTTGATTCCTACCTGTTCCATAGTTAAAGAGGTGCAACTTGGTGGACATCACCGTGTTCATTTAAATGCGTGAGAAATACAATGTGTGGCGTGTGAGCGTGTGAACGGGTGGGAATGCGTGTGTCTCACGCTGATTGCGTGAGACTTGAGAGCCCTGTGTTGTATATGTTCCCTGTCTTTCTGCAGGTGACAGGTGTTCTTCTGCTTAATTAGCCACCTGTTTCATGAGATCCCTCAATTAGTCTGTTAATCGTAAATTACGATTGTGTACACCTATGTTGCATTGTTTAACGACACGTTGGAATCACATAATTCAATGTTGAGTCAATGTATTGTCATCTTGTTCATAAATATTCCTATTCATGTTTTCTTTTTCCTTTTTTTTTTGTTTTTTTTTTGCATTTTAATATCTAAACTGTCTTTAGAGGACGTGTGGATAAGCCATACTTCTATTTAGAATATCACTATCACTAGCGTTACAACTACAGCAAAACCCTGCCAAACTATATCGTCTTTTTCACCTTCAGAAACCTTAAAACCAACTTCGTACTTGTACTTTTCGACAGGCGTAGTTCAGGCGCCTTGTTGCCTACTGAAGGACCCCCTCGTTATTCCAACATGGCGGCGTCCGTAAGGTTGTGCAGTGCCCTCCGCATCTCAATTGGAGGTATGATTTTTATCTTTGTTTTAATCCTGTGCTCCGCCTCAACTGTTCATTTTAAGACGGAACATATTAATTTTATGTATATTTGTGTTCATGTCGTTGTGATTGTGTTGTCCTTTAAAGTGATGTAGAAAAGCATGACATTCTGCAGGAATATGGTGGTGAGGCACGTTTTCGAAATATACTGTAATGTTACTGCTATTTGAAATCTATAGATAAAATAAATATATTACATTTGGTTAAAGAATATCATATGAGTCCCTTAATGTTGGGTTTTCACAACAGAAGTGATTGTAGTCATCAACAATATACGCTGATAGTTATGGTGTATTTTTCCAAACCAAACTTTATGTATTTTTTCTTGTTTATTATTGTCCTACTTATAAAAAGATGTAGAAGCATTAGTTGATAATAAATAAAGGCTTATCGTGCTATTGTTTTATGTACTCTTATTCGGCTGAGTCATAATAAACAACAAGCACTTAATAATACTTATATTTTATCTTTTATCAAGCTTTCCTCCGCTCTGTTGGCTCCGTGGTGCATGATGTCTATCTAAACCCGCTCATTTGTAACTCTAGTACTTATGTACCTTTGCTTGAGCCTAGCCCAGTGTTTGCTATTTTCTCGAATTGAACTATTTACATTTCATGCATTCAAAGCTGGGACTCTGTATGCTAAGCCATGGTGATGGATGTGTGTCTCCTTCAGGTGTGCTCCCACTCCGTACTTTAGGGGGCGCCCTGCAGGTGAATCGAGCCTCAGCTTCCTCTCTCCAAAGAAACCCTGCTCTTCCACTGGTTCAACCAGCAGTGTGGCAGCAAACCAGGCACGGCAGCTTCTTTAACAAGTGTAAGTTGATGTGAAAAAAATGTTTTCAAAATCCTTTTTCCCCTTGCTGGGGTTGTAAGATTATAACCTTAGCACTTGAAAAACCTTCATTTACTCATTAAATTGGGTTCTTTCTGAAGTGATAATAATAATAATGCATCAGATTTCATATAGCGCTTTATCAGAGACCCTCAAAGCGCTTTACATTGGATACATCATTCATTCGCTCACACAGTCACACTTTGGTGGTGGTGGAGACGTGGCTGCCATTCTGCGCCTACGGCCTCTCCGACCACTGGACTGAAAATATTTTAATGGCGTCATAATCAGCTGATTCACTATGGACAGCGGTATATGTCCTTGCCTGTCTGATCTTACAGTATACTCAGATCATTTATTAATTTGTATGGAACAGTTTATAGCAAGAGTGATGTGCAGTGAGGTTTTTCTGGCACCCAGTACAGGTGTTACGGTGTGAAGAAGTTTACTACGTAGCAACATTGGCTTAGGTACAAACTAATTACTCCTATTGATTGGGCTCATTTCACTTTACAGAAAAGAGATGAGTACTTGCACACCATAATAAATCTGCTTACATAAGACTTAAGCATCATCTTTTTCTCTGACTTTTCTCAGTACAGTATTAGGACTCTTAATCAATAGCCTCTTAACTCCTCATTTCAGTCACTTCCTGAGCATTTCTTAAAAAATTAGTATTTTTTGTCTGCTAATATGTCTACCTCATGATCTCACACAGCAAAGCAATACCAGCTTTGCACCTGAACTAATACATCTCCATGAAAAGTATTTGTGTATGGTACATTCTTGGTTGTATTCATGTGCTTTTATACAGAAAGTGCTAACCTTAAGTGTTTTGTGCCCAGTTTAGGTGCCAAATCTTTTCAAACACCAGCGTCTTTCTATTGCAGTCTTAAAGCAGTCCATTAAAACACTCTTTATTCCTTACACTTGAGGGCCACAGAGTCCATGAAACTTTTTCGTTTTGGTATAAAATGCGATTAAGTGACTCAACTTTGGAGCTGTTTGAGTCACTCGTTGATTTATATTCGTGTGTGTGTGTGTGTGTGTGTGTGTGTGTGTGTGTGTGTGTGTGTGTGTGTGTGTGTGTGTGTGTGTGTGTGTGTGTGTGTGTGTGTGTGTGAACTTGTTCTACAGTGACAGCTGAGGAGTTATGGAAAGGTGTATTGGCAGAAATGGGTTCTGGAGCCAGGAAGGGTCGAGGAAAAAGAACCAAGCGCAAATTGAGGCGAGATCTGAACCGAGGACAGGTCATTGGAGAAGGTAGGAAATTGTCTATCCTTCTCCCAGTCTCTGCAGCTGTTTGACCTCAATTTACATGTATTAGTTAAGCAACCAGAAAATCTGTTTTGAATTTTGAATTTGCTGAAGGTGTTTTTCAGCGCCTCCAAATCTGACAACTTAACATTTTAGTGTTTTTTGTTGTCATTAGTACAAGTTTCTTTTCATTCTTTTAAGTGCAGTGGGCTGCTGGTGCATTCAGCTTGAATATTTTGGATCTAATTTTCTTTTTAGAGGAACAATCAGTGTTTATTCTTTCAAGTTTTTCTCTCACAGTCTTGTCAGTCCATCTCTTTTCTGCTTTCACTTCATCTGGATTTTGTAAAGCCAGCAGTTAATTTCACAGATACAAAGTTTTTTAATTCTGTAACTCTTTAACCTCGCACACAGCTCTTTTGCTCCCATTCTGCGCTGTACTTATTTTCTTTTTATTTTATTTTTTGTCTTTTTTTGTTGTTGTCGTGTGCTTAAATTCACAGGTCGGGGAGGTTATCTGTGGCCGGGTCTCAATGCTCCAGTGAGCAGGGATGGGGCTGTGCTGAACATGAGTCGAAGAGGCGAGGCTGAGCAACAGGAGGTTCACGCCGAACTGAGTAAAGTGGAAATACCCTGAATACATTTAAGCATGCCTTGGTTTGTAATACCTGTAGATCTCTATGGATGTAGGAACACCTTCCCATTTGAATCTTCCCGAAGAAACCAATCAACATGCATAGTGATATTTTTCAAACTAGGGACCAAATTGGAGTCGAATTTGGGGGAAATCTGCCAAAATACCTTTAATTAATGGATAAAAAGACTGACAGACTGAAACAGTTCTGCTCACTTTACCAAAGTGGAAGAGCTGTTATTTAACAAGATGAGTATTTTTAAGAGCTACTAGTAGGAAACAATGATGGAAGTGGAGTTTACTCTGAAACCCACAAAAATCAATGTCTCGGCCACTGTTTTTAAAAAACATTTTGTGTGCATCCTTAAAGGGATATTCCAGCGTAAATTTAAGCATTTCCATGATGTAATAATCCTAAATTGTCCACTGCACTTGTTGGGGCTCCCCCCTACAAACAAGTGGCTGCTGGAGGAGAGCGGGTGAGTTGTGTTTAGTCTCTTTGCGAAAGAAATCAGGCAAAGCTAAAAAGATGTCTGGTGGGTAGTACTATGGCTGGGACCCTATATGTACTGTTGATGAAGTTAGGAGCTGTTCTGAGCATTATTTGTGGCTATAGAGTGGCTTTTTTGGTTGAGGTTTATGCGTGGAGACGTAGACCGCTGTGTATTGATATCGTGGTCATTACTAAAGTTGGTATAACTAGAGAAGCAAGCAGTCAGCAACATTCATCTCTCAAGGGGGTATCTAACTTGGTGTTACAGTGTATTTGGCCATAACTTAAATTTATGGTGGAATATCCCTTTTTAAGTTTTAGCTAATAAATCAGGAGCGTTTATTCCCTATAATAACAAATGTAAAAAGGTTGTTTTTAAGGTTTGTGTAATACAGCATCGGTTATTTCTATGTAGAGACATGCAGATTTATCCTGGCCTGCTGTTGGAAATTGGCAGTGTATTTCAGCTGTTACCAGCATCCATCAATCTGTGGGACACTGTTAGCAGAAATGTGTACATTACTGTTCATGAGATAAACAAGACATCAACTCACAGACATCAGACTCTAACTTCAATATGGGTAAAGAAGGGGCAATATCACTGCTGGTATTAGAAAGAGGGCATCAACCAGCCTGGACTGTGGTCGCATAGGCTATCCATTCTAATGCAGCCTGTCACTTTTACGGCGACAAATAGAAACCTTAATTTGTATCCAGTTGTGGTCGCAAACTCAATTTGTGTTTCTGAATTTTGTGTCTTTCTGCAGTACGTCAGAGGGACGAGTGGGAGAAAAAGAAAAGGACCAAGGTTAAAAGGGAAAGGGGATGGTCTGGACACTCCTTGGGGGGATGCAGCCTTGGTTCCCCAGATCCTGGACCAAATGGAGGTAACCTATGTGTACAATGTGGGAACAAGTAAATGCTGCACTGCTAGAAATGTGAAAGATTCGAGCTCAGTTCAAATAATTCAGTCCAGCCTTAGCTAAATGTATAGAATAAAAGATGGAGGAACCAAAAGAGGAATAATAATGGCAAAGGCTGCTCTGAGTAATGGAGTGAGAAAGATGGGAGCAGCAGGCGAGTATGTGGCCTGTTAGGACTGATGAAGATGAGAATTTGACCAAACTGTCAAGAGGAATGATTTCCTAATTTAGAAAAACATCTTTTTCTCTCTCCTCTCTGCACTCTCTTTTCTCATTCTCTCTCTAACTTACACTTTTCACTCTGTGTCCCTCTTTTCATTGTCTCCTCTCCCTTCTCAACTTTCGGCTCTCTTCCTCACCCCTCCACACACACACTCTTTTTTCTCTTTTCTCCTTCTTTTGTAACACTTAGCACTTCTCTCCATTTTCCTTTAGTCACCCTGTCTTTCTCTCCCTCTGTCTCCCCTAATCAGCTTCTTCATTTATCTCTTCCCACACACTCTTCTCATTTTTTTCCTCTACGTTCTTGGCAAAAGGAAGCCCAATTCACCTTACTTGTTTGCTGTCATATGTTATAATTTCAACAGAGCTCAAGTCAGATGGTTCTATCAGTTTAGTCCAGACTGAGATACATATCTGGACAGCTGTCGAAGGTTTTTAGCATGAATTTTGTCCTACCATCTGCCTTTTCACAAAAAAAAAAAAAAAACACTAAATATATACTTACACACACTGGAAGAAACATTTTGTATCAGGGCAGGTAATGATTAAGTGAACGTTAAGTGAAATAAAGACAATATTAGAACATACAAAAGTTGTACGAACACAAGCTCGTGTTTGTGATGAATCACGTGGTATTGTGGATTTTGTAGACTTAATGATTTGACATCGTCACTCTGGCTAGACAGCACCAGGACTTGGTTAAACCAGTTGTTAATATTTTCATGGCTGTGGGCCTAAGGTACCTGTCATATGTTGTGTCTAAGCTCTAGCGCAGCCACCTGCTACTTGCGACTTTCCATAATGCTGTAATGCCATGCTATATGCCAGATGTGAACAAGTACAGATGACAGGTTTCATCTTGCGCAGGTGGCTAAGCAGTATGTTTTTCTGGAAACGGAGACGGTCTCATATGTGTGCTGTATCTGGTTAACTGGACTGGAGTAATGCATTACCTGCACAGGCATGTAGTCAACCACCTGCAGGGAGGACCAAGAGCTGGTGGCAGTAGCGCTGATAACATTAGCCACACTCCGCAATCCAATTTGACCTTGTTGTTTACTTTCAGAGGCTGTGATCAAATGACTGTTGCTATCCTCCCAAGCAGCATCAGGCTCACTAGTTTGCAGAATAGTTAGCTGCAGCTGTAATAAAAACACAATTGCTGTGAGGAATACAGTTTTGATGAAGACAGTTGTGTTACTTTTTCAGTATTGGAGAAATTATTTGTCTGTTACACTCATGACACACCCAGTACTACATTAATAGTAGCCCATTGTCTATTACTATTATTTGTTACTATTTAGAAAAAGTCAGCATGCTTACACAATGTTTCTCCTACTATGTTCATGTGGCCACGAGGATGCGATGTTGACCCGTATTCATGCGCGTGAAAATCGTTTCAAATTAAATGACCTTGGACTCCTTATAGACAGGATTATACAGGTTTGTATTTTGTCTCAGTTTACAGCTTTTGACATTTATCTGAAGAAAAAAAATTAATGTCACAACACAGAAGTTGACTCAAATTTACTGTTATTTATTTACAAACCATAGTACTTATTTACAGAGTCTACAGTGCCTTGAAAAAGTATTCATACCCCTTGAACTTTTTCACATTTTGTCACTCTACAAACACAAATTTTAAAGTATTTTATTAGATTTTTTGTCATAGACCAACACAAAGTAGCACATAATTGTGAAGTGGAATGAAAATGATACATGGTTTTCAGAAATTTAAACAAATAAAAATCTGAAAAGTGTGGTGTGCATTTGTATTCAGCCCCCCTGTGTCAGTATTTTGTAGAGCCACCTTTCGCTGCAATTACAGCTGCAAGTCTTTCGGAGTATGTCTCTACAAGCTTTGCACAAATCGAGACTGAAATTTTTGCCCATTCTTCTTTGAAAAATAGCTCAAGCTCAGCCAGATGGATGGAGAGCATCTGTGAACAGCAATTTTCAAGTCTCAATGGGATTTAGGTCTGGACTTTGACTTAGTCATACTAACATTAATATTCTTTGATCTAAACCATTCCATTGTAGCTCTGGCTTTATGTTTAGGGTCACTGTCTTGCCTGAAGATGAATCTCTTCCTCAGTCTCAAGTCTTCTGCAGCCTCCAACAGGTTTTCTTCCAGGATTGCCCTGTATTTAGCTCCATCCATCCTCCCATCAACTCTGACCAGCTTCCCTGTCCCTGCTGAAGGAAAGCATCCCCACAGCATGAGGCTGCCACCACCATGTTTCACAGTGGGGATGGTGTGTTCAGGGTGATGAGCAGTGTTACTCTTCTGCCACACATAGCGTTTTGCCCTCAGGCCAAAAGTTCCAACTTTGGCCTCATCTGACCAGAACACCTTCTTCCACATGTTTGCTGTGTCCCCTACATGGCTTGTGGCAAACTGCAAATGGGACTTTTTATGTCTTACTGTCAACAATGGCTTTCTTCTTGACACTGTTCCATAAAGGTCAGATTTGTGGAGTAGACGACTTATAGTTGTCCTGTGGACAGATTCTCCCACCTGAGCTGTGGATTTCTGCAGCTCCTCCAGATTGACCATGGGCCTCTTGGTTGCTTCTCTTACCAGTGCTCTCCTTGCTTGGTTTGTCAGTTTAGGTGGACGGCCATGTCTTGGTAGGTTAGCAGTTGTGGCATACTTCTTCCATTTTCGGATGATGGATTTGAACAGTGCTCCTTGAGATGTTCAAAGCTTTGGATATTTTTTTGTAACCTAATCCTGATTTAAACTTCTCAACAACTCTTTCCCTGACCTGTCTGGTGAGTTCCTTGGTCTTCATGATGCTCTTTGTTGACTAGTGTTCTCTAACAAAGCACTGAGGCCTTCACAGAACAGCTGTATTTATGCTGATACTAAATTACACACAGGTGGACTCTATTAACTAATTAGGTGACCTCTGAAGGCAACTGATTACACTGCATTTTATTAAGGGGTATCAGAGTACAGGGGGCTGAATACAAATGCACACCACTGTTTTCAGATTTTTATTTGTTTAAATTTTTGAAAACCATGTATCATTTTCATTCCGTTTCACAATTATGTGCTACTTTGTTTTTGTCTATGACAAAAAGTCTCAATAAGATACTTTTAAGTTTGTGGCTGTAGAGTGACAAAATGTGAAAAAGTTCAAGGGGTATGAATACTTTTTCAAGGCACTGTACATCCAGCCTGTGAACATTAGATTTTTCTGGGCTTTTTGAAAAAAAGCTCCTGAGCTCTTTGATAGTTGGACTCAGCAGTGGGGGTGCCATTGATGCTCACATGCATACAGATGACGAGATGCTCTTCTTGTATCCTGTTCCTCAGGTCAGTCTTCACCTAGAAATTTACACTGTTACCTCTACTCTCTTGCTGCTCAAGGATTTATGCTGTTACGTTCACGTTACGTTACCCGTGCTACTCGCTATATAGACCGTATATAAGCTTAAATGCTACCTTTCACATTGATGGAAGAGGGTCCGACAGCATTTGATGTGCTTGTTGATGACTCAAAACAAGTCGAAAATAACGTCTTGTATGTTGTACTCACACAGTGCGAGTAGAAATCATTAGTACCGCATTGATATTAACGATCATGTGAAATTTCAGTAGCGATGCACATAATTTGAATGAATGTAGGGGAAACACTATGACATGCTCAACCAACACCAATGTGGAAAACATGTGAAAACATTACATCTGCTTGCTAGCATACTAGGGTTTACATTAAGCTAAATGCAGCCACAGAACTGAGCGTCGTTTCTGACTTGGTGTCATATTAAGAGTTGTATCACAGAGTGTATTTTTAGAAACAATTCCTGCCTCTTGACAGCAGAAGGAGCTTAACAAAGAGTGAGAGCTCTGCATACTTACACACTCAGAAGCAAATGTAAACAGTCTGTCGATTTCAGTTTGTTCAGCCACTTTGTCTCCAAAAACAGGGATGTTTTATAGTGTAGGCTTATAACTGTTAAGATCAGAATAGGGTCAATCATTATCCACTAAAAATGGATGTGTTTTTCTGCCACTCGTCACAGGAGAGTTTTGTTAGCACTCTGTGTCTAAGGTTTAGTCCGTTACTGTAATTTAAAAGCGTCTCTGAAGCCCATGACGGTGCTTCTCCAGCCTAATCAACTCTCTACTACAAGCCCCAAGCAACATTACTGGTTAATTCCTCCTGATTCACTGATAGAGCTCCTGTTCCCAGACTCATTACCTGTTTAAACTTTGCTCTTTGCTGACAGACTGAGTTCAGGCCATTTAGCTCTAACTGCTGACTGATTAGAGACAAGGACTCTGTAGTTAGACGGCATGTTTACTTTTCTCATCCTCTTCTCAGTCCTTTTGAACTTGCTCTTACTCCTCATCCTACTTTCTTTTTCCTTGTTATTTAGTTTAGATTTTTTTTTGTCTTTGTTTGCTAGCTCTAGTACTGTGATGTGTACTTGTATTTTCTCTGTAATATGAATAAGCACTTTCTTTTAAGCTCATGCTCACAGAATACACACGAGGCCTTGTGATCGTGATGTGCACACAGCTGTAACTAGGTTGGTTGTCTCTGATCAGGTTTAGTTTCACACAGATGGTGGGCCAATGTCCCAGTTAAGTGGTGTGTGTGTGTGTGTGTGTGTGTGTGTGTGTGTGTGTGTGTGTGTGTGTGTGTGTGTGTGTGTGTGTGTGTGTGTGTGTGTGTGTGTGTGTGTGTGTGTGTGTGTGTGTACGTGTGTGTCGTCTTCTGGAGTCTGCGAGTCTGCTCTCTGTTGCTTGTTGTTAATTGGTTTGAAGCGAACAGGCTGCTGCTGGGAGACAAACATCCTTCAGAGGTCACTGACAATGACAAGTGTCAACCTGTTAGGCTACTGCAAAGACTTATGGGTATTAGTTACACAAGCAGGAGCCCTGTTTCATCTGTTCTATCGGTTTGTTGTGTGTTTGTGTTGGATTGTGTTTGTAAGTAAAAGCTTTTTTATCTCGTTCTTTCTCCACAGAAACTTATGAGGAATTTGAAGCTCGTGTCATTGAGGTGAGTGCTTCTCTTGACTCAGACTGAACAAAGCACACACTTAAACAAACATTGGAGCTGAATCCAAGATGCACATAACAGGGTGAAATATGTGTGCAGCTGTTGTAGAGTTTTGTGTTTCCAGCATCTGTTTTTGATGTAGTTCGTTCCCCTGAAATACAATCAGCTATTTTAGCTTGGAGTTGAAGTTAGCACCATCAGTTGTACTTCAAATTAGTTACCCAAAACGCAACAAACACTTCCTAAAACATCACAGTCCAGGCTGCGTTTGCATTACTCATATGTTCTGATGTTGAGATACACATACAAAACTCAATTCCATTGAAGTTGGGAAATTGTGATAATCTTGATTCTAATCTTGGAATAAATAGGCAGTAACAGCACAGTTTAGTACAAAAGAAAGCCTCACTTTAATACTCATTATATCTTGCACTAGGGGATTAATTGATGATGTCAAATCTCACATGCATAAAAAACAGACTTCCTTGAATATCTCCTGAAGGTCACTTTTGGAAGCAACGGTTCCCCAATAGGTCCCATTTTGAGAGTATGATTAATTTTGTCTACAGTAAGGTGCAACACAAACATAAAAGCAGTTTTGGTGTCTAACACTCATATTTTTATTTGTGGCTTCAGTACAGGGGATGGATTATATTCCAATTATTATGTTAAAGCGAAGAGTCATGCATGATTAGGGGTGTGGGTTGTTTGACTGACACTTGGGCGCACTGCAGCTGTTTGCCTGGCAGCAGTTCTTGAGCCTCATCCCAATCCCTTTGCCATGATCATGAGAAACCAGAAGTTAGTTTAATTAGCATTTCCAATGTGGGCCTCACCTTCTGTGGGTTTTGCCTCGTCTAAAATCAATGGGTGATGTCACGGAGACAGTGTCATGTTTTATGCGCCGTAAGTGTTGAATACAGCACTGACACTTCATCATTCAGGAGCCTAACAAAGAGCTGAAACCTATCATGGAGGGTGTGACTGTCTTGTCAGATTAAATCCTCACTATGACATTGAATGAATCAATAACGGTTCATGACCCTGTCTTATAGAATAAAAGCTTAAACTAAACCAGATAGTAACAGAGTAATAAATGAGAACAACTCAGAGGATGACACTGTTTCCAGGAAACTCAAAATGGTGGAAAATCCAGCGCTGCGTGTGCACATGGACAGTGTTGAAGGCAAATATGCAGAGCAAGGGTAGCTGCACTTGAGCATCAAATGTCAGGTCATTTTGCAGCTGCAGAGTCAGGAGATCAGATGGATAATAAAATGTCCTCTTTTTGAACTGTGTAAAAGCCTGCAGGGCTTTTACAGGAAAAATTGTGTCATTTCTGAAAAGTCACATTTCCTCTGGTGTTCGGTGCGAAACATTTCAAATGTTTCTCATTCAGCCCAGAGCAGCTGCATGGTCAGGCAGCCTGTCAAAGACTGAGATGGTGCACTTGTTCAGTATTTGATCAAATACAAAAACAGTCTTGTATAATAAGGAAGTCATCCAGAGCTTTTTGGACCTGGGGTTGAATTGGCAAAATTAGTGAGTGTACTTTTGGTAGTTAAGGATGTTTTATTATAAGTCAAATGTTCTTATGATGGTAGAGGAGTCTACTTGCTATAGTTAATCAGAGGTGGGTGAAATTAATCCAAAATTTAACTTCATTTACTTTTCATCCATAAACAGTAACTTAAACTTTGATAAGTGCAAATCTGTTAATTCTGTTCATAATAAATGGGAGGATGAGGGTCCCCACAACTCAGCTAATCCAAACATGATCTACTTATAGAGAGCCACAAATTTCATCAGACATTCAAGACATTACTCAATCAGTCAATCAAATTTTATCCATATAATAGCGCCAAATCACAACAGTCAATAACCCAAGATGCTTTCCAAAAAAAAAAAAAGCAGGTCTAGATGGGAGAGGATGGTAGAGATTTGGGCTAAGGCACAAAAAGAGAACAAAGTAGTAGGAAGGAGAGAGAAAACAAGCAAGGGAAAGGGAGGGAGAGAGAAAAGAGAGCAAGGGTAAGAGAGAGAGAGAGAGGGAGAGGGACAGGGGACAGCAGCAACATTAAAACAACAGGTCATGCAGAGTTGTGGTTGTAGAGCAAGTAATAAGGAATAATATGAATTCAACTGTTGTACTGTTGGTCAAGTTGTCCGCGATCCATCTTATTGATCAAGAGCAGAGTTTGAATTCTCCGTGAAGATGCTTCTGGTGGTAGCAATATTTCATCTATTCATTTTTCTTTCATTATTTTAGTGATTCAGTTCATTCTGTCCAGAAAGAACTGGCCCTATCATCTCCAAAATGACCCCTCATGGTATCATTTAAGAGCTGATTTTTACAGTCAAGTTTTTTTCTTACCAATACATCCCTACATCCCCTTACCTCAGCATATTACAACATCACAAAGGGACTGAGAGTTAAAGGTTTAGGTAATAATTTCTCTAAACTAACTTCAAAACGTTTGAATTTGCAGATAAGAGATTAAGTTATGTGTTCTCAGTGTGTGTGTGTGTGTGTGTGTGTGTGTGTGTGTGTGTGTGTGTGTGTGTGTGTGTGTGTGTGTGTGTGTGTGTGTGTGTGAGAGAGAGAGAGAGAGAGAGAGAGAGAGAGAGAGGAGGGGGAAGTACGGGGGATAAGCTTTATGGGCTAACCCAGTTCATTTAGATTCTTCCTCTGTCCTACTGTATTTTACCTTAATTTAATTAGCGCTAATGGACCCTACTAAACTAGTGTGTGTAATGTAACAAGGTCACACACACTGACACACACACACACACACATTCACATACTGCAGATTCATAGTGATGACCCAAACATATATGTCCCCTTAACACATACAGACACAGTATGAGTGTATGTGTGTGCATGCGTGTGTGTTTGTGTGTTACATTGATAGTCTTCCCCTGCCTTCTCTCCTGCATAAATAAAAGTGGTGTCACAGACATTAGGCTTCCCCCTGGAAACTGACGGACGCTTTTATGGTGCCATCTCTCTCTAAATATCCTGTGTGTGCATGAACGCTTGTGTACGTCGTTGTGTGCGTGGAAGGACGTGCTCCACTATAAATTCAGGCCTAACGAAATGAAAAAGGCTTACTGGAATAAAAGGCTTGTCTCTCAAGGACAATGACGCCAGAATGCCATTAGTGAACACGTCCAACGGGGGGAAGGAGGGAGGAGTAAGGAGTAAGGAGTGAGGAGGGATGGAGGGAGGGAGGGAGGGGATGGTGACAGAGAAAATTGGTGGAAAAGTGAGGAGGAAGGAAAGGTGAGAGAGGAGAAGGAAAACTTGTAAGGTAAGAAGTCATTGAAGTTGAGAGAGAGAGCTAAAAAAAAGTCAAGTGAAAGATGAGCAGGAGAACAAGACTGATAGGATGTAGAATGTGACATTAGCAGTCAAAATAAGTGAGGGGGGCTAACAACTCCAGATTGATGGCATTCATTAAATAACAATTATGCATTATCAAACACTCTCCAAACAATAGACCTCCACTGTTTTAAGGAAAACAGTTACAGGGTTACTCTGACTGCCGATGCAGGAATTTGATTTCTCCAAGTTTATCCAGTATTCTGGATTTTTCAACTGGAAAAATGTCGTGACGTGGAAAAGCTGTAATTTGGTGCCATCAAGTCTAAGAAAGTGCTGTAATCAGTCGGCCTTCAGAGAGATGAAAAAGAGGGCGAGGGATGACGAAGAGCAGCAGAATGGGAGGAGAGTCAGAGCCACAGACAGAGAAGTGATGTTCATGGCCTCTCTCCAGCTACAGCAGCCACTTGGACGGGACTCAATGATTTCATTAGCAGAGATGGACCGTTGTCAGTGTCAGAACAGGGGTTTTTATCTTTTATTTTTTTTCTCTCTCGCTGGAGTCAACAACCTTGAAAAGTTTTGCTCAAAGTAAACAGACACGGGCTTGAATGAGAGCAACTTTTTGAGAGAACTTTCAGTGGGATTAAATGTTTTAACAGCTGAGCAGGGATCACAAGGACACGTACAAAACTTTAATACCTTAAGTGAAGGGTTATAATACAGCTTGATTAACATTTTGTTGAAAGCATATTTGTTTTGATAGGGGTTTGAAATGCATGTGATGTAATGCTTTGACTGTGCTAACACTTTTTATTTACAATGAAAATCTTAAGTAAAAACAATATCCAGCCGTGGAAATTTCTGAAGAGGAAGTGTGAGCTTAATGATAGCAGAGCTTGTGTATTTGAAGTCTGCAAATGTACTCTAAAAAAACAAACTGCAGTCTGATAAAAATGTGAAAACCTCATCTGTTTTGACTGATTTAAAGGGATATTTAATTTTATCTGGCGTAAAATTAAGTTAGGGTCAAACACACTGAAACACCGGTTAGACACCCCCTCAAGAGATGAATGTTGCAGACTGCTCGCTTCTCTAGTTAAAACCAACTTAAGCAATGAGTTTTGCAGCTCAAGGAAGAACATTTATGATCATTACTTCATGGAAATGCAATCAGAGTTCTTGTGTATCTTGTATGTGCACTGCAGACGCGGTAGTTCTTCTGCCGGTCTGATTGTATTTCCATGAGTTTTCCACTGCACTTGGTGATCGACTCGTCAGGGCTTCCCCACAAACAAGCGACCATAACTTAAATTTACACCAGAATATCCTTTTAAGACCAGGTCACAAAAGTTTTAATAATTTTTGTCCTGTTTCCCTCTGGTAACAAACACTGACTCATGGCTACATTGTGATGAATCTCTGACTTTAAACAATAGAGTGTTAGCAGGATTGTTTTAAACCTGCATTTTCTCTAATAAACCACAAGGGGCTCCACCAGTCATAAAAAAAGAAAAATGTCAGCTTCCTGTTTTAGGTCCTCCTTAATAAAACATGATATTTATCTTGTAAATTATAGTTATTTCAGGAGTTAATCACTTGATCAAGCTGAGTTAGGTGTAAAAACAGAGATTCTTATATCATAAAACATTGTTGATGTCTCAACTTAGAGACAGGGTTCTTCAAAAAGCACATTTGGGGACAAGGGCTGTCGCTTTGTTTTAATCAAAATTCAAACATTTATTCTTTTAAGGATACTTCCTCTTAATTGGGTTGCAACCAATATCAGATGCTAATGTTGGAATGGACAACATATCAAAGCATGTCATCTATTCAAACCAGCTCAAGGTGTGAAAATCATTTGACAGTAAGAAATGAGTGACTTCAGATAGAAAGAAAAATGGAAGAGAAATGATGTGGAGTTTTTTGCTTTTACTGTCTATGCCTTCTGCTTCTGTGCGATGAAAACTCCTCCCCTGCACTGCTGCATATAGACAGATACAGATAGGGAGATGTGCAGCAACAGATTGACAAAATAAGAGATGAAACAGAAGTGAGAGCGTCCTCCCACCGACATGCTGTCGCTCATCCGGTGGAGGCAAATTCAGACCATCTGCTCTGCTGCCAATGCATCTCTGCCAAAAACTGCTGCGTCTTCAGCTTAAATTATGGACATGAAGCCAAAAGCTCAACATCACCGCAGACTCTTACACATACTTCAAAAAGAAACTGGCTGTGAGAAGCCTGGAGTTTCATTAAAACTGGGTTAATAATAGTGTTTAGGGTCCTGTCTGGATCTTTGTATAGGAAGAGAGCTGACGTATCCTTAGATACACTCACACTGCAGGTTCACACTTAAATTAAAGCAAAGATATTTTTCTTTTCTTTCTTCCTGCAGCCAGAGCATCAAAGTAGATGATGCTTGTATATTTTGCTTAACTTTACATGAGGAGCACTTACTTTAGACTTGAGAACTATCAAATGAGAGGATGTGCTGTTTGACTGAAAACCAGAGCAGCGCTGACTCTGCTATAGAATGAATAACAGGTGTGCTAGTGGAACAGCATGACCTTGCATGTGATGTTGTCTTTGTACAGCTCTTCTGAAAGCAGCATTTAGTGGGCAACATTCAAAACTATCAACAGACATTACATTTTTGTTCATTTGAGCTAGGGCTGCACAATAAATCAATTTTAAACCATAATCTGATTATTTGATTATGACGATGTTATAAAATTTAAATCGTCAAATTGATTTTCCGCTCTATCATGTCTCACACCTCAAGGCCACTGTAGGCTCCCCTTTCCCGGCCAAAACACCTGTAATACACATGCTCTGTACTCTTCTTCTGTATTTTGTGAATTTCCTGTGCAGTATTACAGCGCCACTTACTGGTTTGGCATATGCACTACATCGTTTTCAGTGGTCCCGTTTTCAGAGATGATAGAAAAACTTAAAGTGAAGTTTGATGAAGTTGTAACCGAATAAAAAAATCGAAATTAAAAATTGAGTTTTTAAAGAAAAAAATCTGGATTTTATTTTTGGCCAAAATTGTGCAGCTCTAATTTGATCGTTCATTTGGCAATGTGGTTTTGTTTTGCAGTTGCAATGTTGCAAAAAAAACATATTATGCCACACTTGTTCTACTTAGTGATTTTCTCCACATTCATACTGATAATGACCTCTTATAGATAAGTGTATGGACGCTTGCGTTGATAGGATGTGTAATTCTGTGCTGTTGTAATTTTTATCAGCACTCCCCTGGTCTAGTCACTTTACTTGGCCTAACTGAGTGTTGTAAACTTCATGATGAGTATTGGGTGCTTGCATATTTGTTGAAATATTAGAGAAAGGTAAGAAACAAGTCATATCTGTAAAGTGTGTATTAAGTTGTTATTGTGAACTAGCACATGCTTAGGTGTTACTGTGTGTCTGTGTCCAGCATGGTTGTTATTTCAGTGTTTTAGTGTTGCTTCCTCCATGACCTGAATCCTTCTGCAGTGGCCCTGAATTACAACCCCTGTACTGAGCTGTGTGTTATATAACTCAGTCAGGCTGGAGGCACAGCTTCACTTTGAAGTTTCTTCAGCTGAAATTCAACACTGCTCTGTCACTTTTGCTCTCTGGTTTGGATGAAAGCATGAAGGTGAACTGTTAATCTTCTTTTTTCTTTTTCTGGGTGAGATATATGGCACCATAGGCTGTTGATGGTCCCCAAACAAGGCACCTATAGAAAAACAGGAGGCAGTATTGTGGGCACAAACAGATGTTTGGCACATCTGGATCCAACTCACAGGGGGGTTAGGGGTCTTTATAAATTACACAACACATCAGAATGAGGTATACATTTGTGGTTTTTTAGGTCACTTCAGAAGATGTGGTTTTGGAGACATTTTTAGTCTTTAGAGAAGTCCTTTATGCAGCATAGAGAAAATGTTGGTCACACCTTAATTTTTTTCCTGTTGAATTGCTTTTACAGTTAGCCTGTCACTGTTCTACTCCTGCCTTTTCTTTCATATGTTTTGCCATCGTTCTTACTTTGAATCCATCTTTATCTATCCTGAAGATGCCCACTTTAAAGCAGAAGGGGCTTTACATCTTCAGTCATGGCTTTTGTATCATATAACATTACTTGTAAAACATAATTCACTTTTTTTCTCTTCACTGCCCTCTTTTTTTTTCTGATTTTTAATCAGTACCTGAACTTTAAAATCTGTCAGTACTGATGCTAATTTCATACAATACCAGTTAACAAACTGCTGCTTTTTAATGTGGGAAGGACACTGATAATTATGTTTTGGCAACATCTTTTTAACTTTTTAAACCAAAATTAAATGAACATATATATTGAAACTGCCTGTAACATTTGGCTGAGAACTTGGCTTCGACTTCGTCATGATTTGAATTTGAAGCCAAATTGCTCTCAGTATTTCTGGGATTTTCTCCACTTCCTGGAACCACTACCTTCGCAGTAGCGTTGTACACATTTAGCGGGCGAGTCACTGAGAGTCACTGTGATGACACTCGGCTCAAACAGTGTAAGCCCCAGGTGAGCTACGCAATCTTCGTATGCCCATTGGCTGTATCAAGTGTCAATCATAGAAAACATGAACCTCCTAATAACTTTTAAAAATGGAGCTGTACAGAAAAAAGAGGACTTGAGCACAAATCAGTCTTACAGTAACTACATGTCAGCACCACAAGCAAGGGGGAGAAAAATTTACATTCTGTGTAATAAAGTTCTAAAGTTTGTCCACAACTCCATAGGGATTGCTGGGGGGATTTATGACCTATACTGCAGCCCGTCACCAGAGGGTGCTGTTCTCGCGGCGACTTCATCCAGCGAGGAGGCAGACAGCGTCTATTCTATATGCAGTCTATGTGTTATAAACAAAGAACTGAGTTGAATAGATCTGCTCTCAGGATGAACCCAATAGATCTGCTCTTTATTGCGATATCCAATCTAGCTTTTTGGGTCCTGTATCTGACTGAAACAGGATACCATGATTGAATTAGTGCCAAGTAAATATACATTAGATATCCCTGGACCCACACAGCGAATCATAAAATCTTAAAAGAATGCGCCATGGGGCTGAGTTAGGTGCTTAAAAATAATATGAGGCAATGATGGTTTTGAGATGGCAATATTATAATCCTTTTCACATTAACGAGACAGACTTGTGTCTGTTATCTGCTACCATGTTGAAGCAACATCTTTCTGCCACACCCACGACTCGACACAGCCCCGCATGCGAGTGCCAGATTTTATGTCAAGCTGTAGACACTCAAGCCAGCGTGTTGTTGGCTGCTTTCTATACAATAGTTTACAGCCAAACCTATTTTTTTCCCACAGGAGTTGTTTAAGACCAAAGATGCGCTAAAGAAAGAGTAAAAAAAAATATCTAACTCGACAGTGCCATCAGTTGTCAAATATGTTCAACATTTGACAGGGAAATCACTGCTGCTTTGAATGCTAGTCGTTAATTTAAGTGGAGCCTAAAATTGTTGTAATAATTATGACTGAAAAAATGTGTTGAACCAAAATGTCTGCTGATCTCTTTCTAATTAGCTTCATTAACTCAGTTTAATTGAATCATAAGTAAAAGTGGCAGCTTTTATTTATCAAAATGACAACCAGCAACCCAACTCGCTCAACTCCAATTTGTGGTGAATTAGTTTCTTGGCAACAGAATCTTTGTGTGCTTGCTTACCCATGTACATTGGTGAGTGTTTGTGTGTGTTTAAGAATTTTTTCAATCTTTTGAAGTTTTTCTGGACATCAACCATTTTATTGCATCTCACTTTGAGACAAAACACACAAACACACACACAAAAAAAAAAATCTTTTTTTTCACCTGGAGGCACACACACATTCATTCCACAAACAGACATCTGCATGGTCAAACACACACACACACACATTGTCAGTGTCACAGAGCTGTTCTGCTGTGTCACCCCCTGCTCCCTTTTTCTTTTACCCCTCACTCTTTTTTGTCCTCTCTCTCTTCCTTTTGAATCCATGTCTGATTTCTCCTCCTGTTCTAAATTTAATCCCTCCTCCTCCTCCCTTCAATCATTCACTCACATAGATTGCACCTTGTCAAGGCTATAAATCCTCGCTTCCCTTTTCTTCCCTCCCACACTCATAAGACATCTCTCCTCTTATCTTTTCATCTTTTTCTCTACTACAGCCTTTTTCTCATGTTTTCTTGTCTCTCTTTGTCTTTGCTAAGTGTCTCCTCTTTTTCTTCCTGTTTTCTCTGAATAGGTCTGCTAATGGTTTTAACCTACTGTATCCTTGTTCTGCTCCTGTCTCTGTCAACTTCTTCTTTTCTAATGGCTTGCTGTGCCTCTGCTCCTTCCATCTCTCTCTGTGACATGCCAATGCTGCCCCCTGGTGGTGTATTAGTGGTATCCAGATAGTCTATCAGTCTGTGTGTCGCACACATGAGAGAGCAGGGTGATGTGTATGTGTGTGATGGATGCTCTGATGCCAACGAATCAATGAAAATCACTTAAATCTGGACAGGGATTCATGTCTGGACTGACAACACTGACACACACAGAGACACACACACAAGCCCAACTATCGTTCTCGTTTCATTACATCACGAAACAAACACTCATCTTGGCAGAGATCCTCCACAGCACTCAGTCTTTTGTCACTTGCTTAACAACACCACTCCTCATGTGAAGTTGTCCGATTGTTGTTGTTGTTTTTCAGGTGAAGAATGTGTTCAATATGACAGCCAAAGAGGGCAGGAGGAAGACTGTCAGCTGTCTGGTTGCCGTGGGAAACGGAAATGGAGCTGCAGGTACAACACTCTCTTTAAAATAGACAGACTTTCATTTTCCTCCCTAGAATATGAGTCTGGAATAATATTAACATAGTTCGTGTTATTAAAAAGTGACACTGAAACTTTTCAGTCCATGCAGATATGGAGGAAATCATCAGACTCTTTTCAGAACCCTTTTCCTTCCTCAGCCCCTCGTTACACAGTCTATTGGGGTCTGCATAATTTAAAGAGAATGCTCAGTGTGATATCTGAAACAATGATTCAACTGTGTTTTAATGGCAGTACTTGTGATTTCTCTTCCTCCACCAGGTTTTGCGGTTGGTAAAGCAGCAGACAGATTAACAGCTCTGAGGAAGGTGAGATCACAACTTTCCAAGTCAATTATTTATCCAAGCCTGTTTCACATTATTATTATCCCAAATTTGAGGCCTTTTTAAGGTCTTGGAGTTTGTCTCAGTGTCTGTTGTGTGAAAATCAAATAGAGTTCAACTTTGTATTGGACTAAAATGTTCTTACCAGTCAGAGGTTCAAATCCTGGCTTTGTCATCCCTACACTCTTCACTCTTTCTGTCTGTCTATGCCTGTCATGTTTAATAAAGGAAACATAAATAGATAATGTATTAAAGAATTCGACACACTCCTCTTTGTGTTTCCCGTCTCTCTCCATCTGTCACGTCTAATAAAGACAGAAGTCAATTCCAGTTTTAAAAATGAATAATTTTATCAAAGATAGATTAAAAAAACACAAATCCAAAGAGGTTTATTATTTATCAGGTATAAATGCTTCACAGTGGAAGTTTTTCAGCATAATTGATAAGTGATGTGACAAATAAGATTATTTGTGTTAAAAAATGTGAACTTTTTTGTATTTGAACTGACCTACAGGCCAAGAACAGAGCGATCCACTACTTATACTACATAGAGCGATACAACAATGCAACCAGTAAGTATTTGTCTCCTTATAGTCCTCTCCTTCTTTCACAAAACCCTCATTCATACCTGTCTTTTTTTCTCTTTCCTCTCAACTTTATAGAGAAACAGTCAAAGGCACTTGCTCTAAGAGTGTCTGAATTTTTGTAATATTACCGTAGACATTATTGAACAGAGAAACCAGGGAAATTATCAGGAAATTCACCAGACCTAAATTAATATGATATAACTTTGAGTTTATTCCAGCTTGTCAGAAATATTCTGTTTTATGTGTCAGTTTGGTACGAGATGGCTCTAATAACTACAGTACCCATTAGGGGTGGGAGAAAAAATTGATACAGAACAGCACAACGTCCCGATATTTTGTCTGGTGATATGTCGTATCGTCTCATTTACCAAGTATCGATTTTTTTCATATAAGTTGTCAATATGAAGTCAAATCTATGATAATGGAAAAATAAAATCAACTGTTTGTCCAGTGAGGTTGGCAGAGGTGACATCATAGAGCAGGAGAAAGTTTGTGCAACAAATATAGCGCCACCTGGGAAAAAGCATTAGGAAGGCTAATGTTTGCAAGATGTGCTACATGAAAATAAAATGCGGCTAAATAAGACAAACATAAAGGAAAGACAAATGCTAAATTAGCTAAACAGTTCAAAAATTGTATAAATCATAATATATTGTATCGCAATAACTGTATTGCGAAATGTTAAAATCACAATAATATTGTATTGTGGCCCAAGTATCATGATGATATCGTATTGTGGGGCCACTAGTGAGTCCCACCCCAAGTACCCATGGGCCATTGCTTTGGTTTACAGTAACAGATTCACAAGCACTTAAAAATTTACTAATTTAAATGAAGTAGGAGGCTGTATGATCTGTTTCCCAAACCCCTGTGATTCACCTTCAGTTAGCTTGTGTTGATCACACAGTACGAAGCTCAGATTCTGGAGATTTCCTCACAAAAAGCATCTTTAGGTTTAGCAGCGGTTTTATCTACATTTTTGTTGAGTTATTGTGTTACCTCGAGAAATAAAAGCTTCAGTTTTTCAGCTCTGACTCGAGGTTGAATGCATGTCTTTACCGTAAAAGCACTTTAGCTGTCACTCACAAGCGTCATTTATGAAATATGATTGAACTCTCAGAACTCGAGGAATCTGTGTGAGCCCTACTCTACATCTCCAGCTCTGCCTCTGCTTTTACTCCCCTGCATCTCTTCCTCCCACCACTCATCTTTCCTCTCCCCCACTGTCCCTCGGTATCACCTGCAAGTACTCCTACAAGCAACATAATACATAATGAAAAGCTTTTTGCATAAAGTTACGAGAGTTAATAAGCTCCCATGTACTTTCCTTATTGTAAAGCCCCATTTGGCCTCTGCTGATGCTGCCGAAGAGCAAAGCCAGAAATTTTAATTCGTGTGAGTCATCAGCCTCCACCGCGTCCGCCAAGGAGAAAGTTAGCTTCCTTTTTCTGGCCCCACACCAGAGGGAAGTGTGTGTATGTGAGGGAGGCTGTCTCTCCACTCAGTTTGAGCTCAGAGCTGTGGTATATCTCATTTTTGCAGGTTCATGTCATTCCACATGCCAGCTCTCACTACGTGACCATCTGCAGCCTGTCTGAACCACTATGTGAACGCTTATTTGTTTACTTCTTTGAACTAGGGTTGGGTCTGCAAACTGGTGCACTCAGATGCTGACTCGGTAGATGTCATGCATGGTTTCCAACAAAGTCGTACAATTTTTGACCCATCTATTATTAGGTCAGTCAGATTTTTGGCAACAGAAAAGTTGAAACGCTGTTTTGGGGTTTCGGTGGGCCATAAATCTCATGAAGCCTCAGATCTGGGACCCCCTTCCTCTGGATGAGTAACAGCTTGCCTCCTGACATTTAGATTTTGGAGTCCAGTGGGTCCAACATTTCAATGAATTTGCCACTAAACAAATGATTGTGCCTGGCAGATGTTTGAGCTCCCTGACCTTCCAAATGTTGTTTTTATTGGTGCCAGGATTGAATATTTATGGAGCTTCAGTTTCAGTGAAAATAAATATAAATCCAGATTGAATTAAAATGAATCTGAATGCAGACGCTTCTTTTGGTGTCTCTTCACTTCGTGTTCAAAGAAAAACACCTTTAGACCTTTTTGACAGCAGAACAACAAATCAAACCGTTTCAGTCATTTTAGTTTACTCCTTTAAGGTACTAGACTTGAAGTTGACCACAAAAAGATTTAATGCAACTGAATTTTAAAGAGTGTGCATCGTTCGAACAGAAATAGACTTCTTCATATGCTTTGACTTTGGCTCTCTGAAAATCCCTGCACTCCTCCGAATGAACCTGGACCCCCTGTAGATGCAGCAAATGTTCAGCTCCCCCCTGTGGAGTGTGTATCTGCGAATTATACATTTTGTGATGCATTTGAAACATCTTCACTCTCTTAAATGTTCTTACCCTTGACTGCCTTTCTCAGCATCCTCTTACTGTTCCTGCCCTTGTTGTTGTGGTAACATCTAAGTCCAAAACTTCTTTCTTTAGTGTGTCATATCCCAACTACGTTTCTGTTATAGGCAGGGAAAGCAGCCGGTTTTCAAGAAACACTAAGTTTTCACCTCAAGCCATCAAGTCTTTCTCCTTCTTCATTCAACAGCTTACAGCTCCCACTCAGGGCCAGTGTGTCTGAATAAATAATGAAACACAGCTGCTGCTGCTGCAGTAGCAAGCAAGACACACTGCCATGTGGAGGGACATCTGGTGGGCAGGTAGAGAAACACAAGACCAGAGGGAGAACAGGAGAAGAGATGCACAACAAATCACAAATGCCTGCTCTCTGAAACGAACAATAGAAGACGATTAGACTTTCTAGAATAATGTGGTCGTCTTTCATGTTCTGGTTTGGCCATTTTTCTTGGTTTTCATCCTAAAAGTGTTATTGAGTTGCTGCTGTTTTTCTCTCCATCAGTTTTTCACGACATTCATTCAAAGTACAAGAGGACGACACTGCGCATGAAGAAGCAAAACGAGGGTATGTATGCATTCATTACAGAGAGACATACAGACTCTGTTCTTCCTCTAAGCAGGGTTCCTACACAGTTGGAATTTCCATACTTTTCCATCCCTTATAAGAATTACTTTTGGAAATACCTACTTTTCTATTACAGAAAACAGTATTTTTGAACTGTAGTAATAGTCTGGACACATAAATATTTTTCCATACTTTATTTTTCATTTTCCATACTTTTTAAGACCTGGAAATTGATCAAATTTATTTCCATACTCGCGTAGGAACCCTGTCTAAGAGAAATTCAATACATCCTACAGCAAACAATAAAAAAAGTCAGTCATGATTGATTAAAATCAGGAAATAAATGAGTAAAAAGACTCCGAAATAGAAACACAGTGTCAAGTCCCTGCAGTCTATGTTCTGCACGGATCCCACAGAGAAGAGAGTAAACTTCTCCAACAGCTCAGGTCATGAGCCATCATCACAGAATATACACTCCTTAAGCCTGATGGCAGAGGAAATAAAGGATCTCCTGAAACTCTCACACCTCCAGCACAACCTCTACCCTCTAACTTCAGACTGAGCCAGCCTCTTTGTGCAACTCTCCCAGCCCCCTAAAGTTCTGTATTCATGGTCTGTTGATGTGATCATGATCATTTGATCCAAATGAATGTCAGATTTCCTTTTTCTTCTGCCCTGCAGTGTTAAGCTGTGATTGCATTTCTATGTGTAGCCCACATTTCATCCCAGTTGTCTCTGTGCCTCTGCAGGTTATGGTCTGCACTGTCACCGGGCGATTATCACTATGTGCAAGCTGATTGGGATTCAGGACATGTACTGCAAAGTGGAGGGATCGACCAATCTGCTCAACATCACCAGAGCCCTCTTCAATGGACTAGCTACTCAGGTGAGGGGAAGAACCTATAGTGGGAGAGTTTACAGCTTTCTGAAATAAGTTTCTTGACTTCATTTCGTTATAAGTCCAACATGGAGTCTTCATTTTGGGCCCATTTCATATTTAACACTCCATCCTCTCCTTTATCTTTATTCCTCGCCTTTTCTGCAGGAAACCCACCAGACAAAGGCCGAGAAGAAGAAACTCCACGTGGTTGAATTTCATTCGCATCGAGGGCTGCTGCCTCAGGTGGTGGCAAGTCCTGAAGGTGGAGCACAAGTGGACCCTGAGCCAGAGGATGAGATCCCAGACACCAAGCTGCACTGGGGAGATGTAAAAGCTGCACAGGGACTCAAACGCTCAGTCTGGTCAAGTGTCAAACGAAACATCTGGTAGTGTGCTGATGTATGAATCTGGCCAAAAGACAGATGAATCGACTCATAGAGGCCACATGAGGCAGGGTCTCACATTTGGCTTTGACAGACAAGATGAACATAAGTGTGTGCATTTTTCTCATTATCTATTTTAGTCAAAAATGTTTGACTCTTGAGGACTTTCATGCTTTTGTCAATCGTGTGAATAAACAGAAAGCATTGTTTATCACATAGCAGAGGGCTGAACTTGAAAACTGTCTTACAGATTCATCTTAGAAAGGTCAATAGTGACACAATAATTAAAAATATAAATATCTGTCTCCTTTGTAACTGTAAAAGTAAGACCCTTTCAATGCTTATCCTTGTGGAATAACAGTATGTACTTAATAAACAAAGCAGAGCTGTTTAAACAGTGTGAAGTGGAGTCTTCTGTCTCTCAAACATTAAATAACAAATTCTGTGTGTGTGTGTGTGTGTGTGTGTGTGTGTGTGTGTGTGTGTGTGTGTGTGTGTGTGTGTGTGTGTGTATAAACTAATAAACTCTGATAGCAGGCAGGCTGTGTTTCTTCTCCTCAACAAAATGTGCCTTTGCTCAGAGAATTGCAGGACAGAAATAGACAAATTTATCAGTATTTTCATACCTGTCTTTTTAAGAGTTAAGTTCATCATATAGAAAAACAAACTTCCCTAATGTCAGTGTGCTCCTTACCGAGCTACTGACGCAGTATTGAAAACAGAACATGTTCGATTACATTTAACAAGTAAGATTGAAAAATTGTTTTGGTTATTTTTAATGTGTGACAGTGTCCTGTATTATAGCTACACCTCTGCTGCTTATAACGAACCAAACCGTGAGAAAATTGGGCAAAAATTTGGAGAGTTACGATGAATATGGTTGGGCATTCCTACCTACCTTAATGCACATGCGCCTACCTTGAGGCGCAGCGGGCACACGCTGAGATGTAAGCTCCAATAGGCAGTGTCAGTCTATGAGGCGTTTACATATATTATGTCTATGTTTAGACCTGTCTCTCTTCATGCATCCAGGTCTAGGATGTACGCACGTCCAAACATACATGAAACAACGGCTAGATTTTCAAAATAAAAGCAACACACTTGTACAGCACACTCATGTTCTGATTGACAGACCTCACACGGGCCGGGCAGGAACATCCAAAGTGGCCCTCGGGCCGTAAAATGCCCAGGTCTGATGTAGATGTTTTTTGGGTCTGAGCAGTAAAAGCTCTGGTAATCTGCCAACACTTGGACACCCCAGACTGTTCATTGGATTAGATCCATAGACTGTATAAAGTAGATCACACTGATTAATCTTTTTATTGTGGCAGTGATTTAATCATGTAAACTACAGTACAGGAGCACAAACAGTCAACAGCAGCATGATTTACCTACTGAAGAACACACTCAATATGAAAAAACTTGCTCCAGGTGAGGTTCGAACTCACAACCTCGGCATTGCTCTGCAGCGTACTGTCTTATAAGTACCGCGCGCTAACCTATTGCGCCACTGGAGCTTAGTTTAAACAACTTTGTATTATCATTTAGCTTACTCTCTGTTCAATTTTGTGTACATGTTAATGAATTTGTAGCTTGGTGATCCTATATGTTGGGTAAACAAGCCTCTTTTTTTGTAAGATTTCCACTAAAGACATGGCAACTATCATCCATCATGTTTGATCTGTGAATCATGGCACTTGGAGGATTCAATTATACACCACCCCACAAAGTTGATGTCATTAAACTAGAAACTAGATTTTAGGTCAACTCTCAATGGTCTGTGGTAGTTAACATTTAACCAAATGTTTAAACAAACATGATTATGGGAGTTAAAGAGAAATACTCTGTTGATTAAAATCCTCTTTATTGTCCTTGGAGTTTTCCTTTGAATAAGTAAGCAAACAACACATTTTCCAGCCCTGACTGCTGCCTGAGGGATTTTTTTTCAGCACATCAACAACTTCTCCTGTTTATATCTGGCAGTCCAGGAAATTTCACTGATTTTTTCACTGTTTAACTGTCAAATTACTGAATCATTATAAACTACATGTTCCTTCTTTCAAAGCATTGTCTTCCAGCGAAGCAATCATTCATTGTGCTGTACGTATCAGGCTGTAGCGTGGCCTATACTAGACAGCATGCATCACCTTGTAGAGTGTGGACAGCTCAGTAACACTAAAGTTGTCTTTTTACGGTCATTGGAATTCTTGTTAAATTTTTGTGCTGGAGTTACAAAATTCACTGGAAACTTTAAATGAAAACGGTTTCATCGTGATTCACCACAGAAACAGAAAGGAGTGCAAACAGGCAAAATAAAAAGTTTGCATGTTTTTGGTTTGGATCGTGAGATAGCGTTTAAATTAGAAAAAAGTGTACAACCTAAATTGTTAGAATCTATTCCCATGATTTTCTAGGATTAGGTTTCTTGAAAGTAAAAACTCAGATGACTGAATATTTTTCCTCACAGCAAAAAGGTGTCAGATTACTTCTGCTGCAGTTAGTCTTGGCACTGTTCCCAAACATTTCACTAGCTTGTTTTTTTCTTTAGTTAAGATTTTCTTCTGGTTCTTACTATCTCAGTGCCAGGACTCTTATCTTTTTCATACACTTTAAATGTTGAAGTAAAAGTGTAAATATTTACCCACAGTGACACATGCAGGATGACACAGCAGGTTGTGGCAGTTTTCAAAGTAACCTGTAACAGTTAAAGCGGCTGAAGTTAAAGTTTACATTCAAATTCAAATGAGGACTAAACTTTATTACTTTTGTAACATATTGACATACTTTTATTTCAATAAAACTCCAGCTAGGTTATGTTAACATCTCATACTGGTTTAATATTGGAAGTATAAAAGAAAAATCATACAAATCTTAGACAGATATCTTGGCAATATTTCTGGGTGAAATAAATCTGTCACTGTGATTACATTTCACAAAGGGCAGAAAGCTGGCTCCCACTGGAGTCTGAATCTACTATCAGTATTTAGAGAATACAGTAGCATTAGATAGGGTGACCATATTCTGACTTCCCAAAAGGAGGACATGACTACGCGGGGGTGGAGCCATAGAGTTGCACAAGGTTAATTTTGAGAGTTTTTTAGGTGGGATCGAGTGTCTTTTACACGCTTCTAACTCAGTAAATCCACGTGACACAAAATCGAAACTTACGCACAAAACCATAAAAAAGGGTAAAGACGACCTATGGTCACCCTAAATTAAAGCAAAAAAAAAAAGAAAAGAAAAAGTGTTGAACTTCCTTTGTATACTTTTGTACACATAAAAATGTTTAGTTCTTTTTATCCAAATTGCACTTGCTAGCTGTCATTTAGCTTTGCTTAGCTTAGCTTAGCAATCGCTGGCCTGGCTTTTTTCAATTGTCAAAGAAATCATCCTATCAGCATCCTTAATGCTAAACAGTTTGTATTTTGTTTGTTAACTCTTTGAAAAGGACAAGAGGTAAAAAAATATAATGGTTTGATCAAACAATCACTCCCTCTCAGGTGTGTTAGCTTGTAAGAGATCAGGTGAAAATACAGAAGAAGAAAAAAGTCTCTGCAGTCTTTGTATCCACTAAACAACAATACAAGACATTCATTAACATTAATACATTGATTAAAGACCTCTATGGTTTTAGATTATTGGGTTGTCTTAAGTGTTGCCTCACCAGACAAGCTGTTTCCGCTTGTTTCCAGTCCGTGCTAGGCCAAGCTAACTGGCTGCTAGCTGTAAAGGGCTGTATTTATAAGGCTTCATATTGGAGTGACAGACAGAGGAAGTGCATCTTTTTTTGTTGTTCATACTTTTTCTTAAACTTAATAACATCATCATGACCTACAAACAACTTCTCAGTCTTTTTACAGTTACTTATCATCAACCCATACTACTGCTGACTCTGTTTCAATGCTATCACGCTCTCATCATCTCCATTTTAGCTCTGTCTATGCTCTCTGTAATTTAGCCATTATTATCACATGCAGCACACTCTGCTCAAAAGTTTGGATTTACACAGCAATCTTTTTTCCAGTAGATTGTTCTTTAAAAAAAAATGTATCCAGCTGCAAGCAAAAAAAAAAAAAAATTGAACAATGACTGCAGTATAATTCAGATGGTCCAACATTGATTATAACATAACGGAAAATTAAACGATGCTGTTTATAATTGAAGTACAGAATATTCAACAGTTCTTAAAAAAAGCAAAAAAAAAGACACTTACTTTGAATCACAAAGATTTAGTAAAAATTTAACAGTCCCACACTGACTGTGTGTACATTTGTTTGAAAGATGAGCTTATTTCTTGCTTTTTTTTATTCACATTTTCTACACCGTATCTATCATAATTTTTAAGTTCTTGTATGTAAATTCTTACATGTATATGATCAGTCTATTTTCAGCTGCTGGTAGTTTCACCGTACACTCACACACGTTCACATTGATAAACAGGTCTGTGCTTCAGTGTTGCTCTTCAGAAGTGTTTCCACCGGATGGAGGAGAGGATGGCGTGGACGAAGTAGAAGAAATGAGTAACAAATGCAAATACCTGAAATGCACACAAACATAATCGTTAACACAAGGAATAGACCAAAACAAAAGGCAAATAACTGTGTGTAGTGGTTCCGATGTTCAACACACCCCAGGAGTCCTTTTGTGACAATTCACCATTTAGTGTTTCTCTGTTCTAATTAAAGGTAAAGTTTTTTTTTTTTTTTTTTTTTTTGGATAAATACTGTCCAGATAAATCTCTGTTCTTTTCCCATGTTATAAAATTTGTTCTCACCACAGCAGCGATGTCAATCTTGTAGATTTTTAAATCACCTCCTGTCTTCTTCCCAAAGGTGATGTGAGCCAAAGCCACACCTGCACTAAGGTAAAACATAGCTGCCAGACCATGGTAGGCAAAGTCCTGGACATACACAAACACACACACAAAAATTAAGTCAAAACACAAACATTTTCCACAGTTTTACCTTTAAGCTCAGTACAGCCAATTTTTGTTATCTTTTCCCGTCTTGCAGGTCTTACCGCAGCAGCCCAGCCAGAGCTGTTCTTATGACATCCAGACCCAAAGAGGATCATCCAGAGGAAGGTCATGACAAAGCAGAAGACAGAGACAAACATCACCCAGCCAAGAGGATTTGGGGGGTCCACATGAGTTGACGCAACCAAGATCCACACCAAACCACCAAACACCTGATAAGATAGAGACAGACCATCAAGATTAAGGAGCAGGGTCACTTCTTCTCCAGCTTTGGTCCATTTTAAAAGCCGTATTTGTTTACTTTGGCAGGTCACTAAATCTTTTATGAAACACTTTTTTTGGAGTGGAGTATTCCCCAAAGACATGAAATAATAGTGCTATTATTTACGTCTCCTGGCTGTCCTGGTTTCTGGTCTTATCTCCAAAAAACCTGTACAATTTACATATTACATATTGTCTTTCTGCCTCTTAGTGCTGAGCTGCAGTGCCTCCTTGATTAGTCATATCATATCATATATCATTTTTGGCTTATCATAAAAGCCAAAAATAAAGACATATATGGAGGACACAATACAGCTGTAGAAAGAAACTTGCAGCATGCACAGTTGCAAAATAGATTGAATGTACACTTAATATGCAAAGTGTACAATATGTACACACATATGTTTGTCTCTGTACAGTATGCACACTTTGTATGCAATTTCAAGTCTGATGAAACCAGTTTTTCTGTCATAAATCCCCCCTCCCCAGAATAGATCAGTGTCAGCTCTTTGTATTGTTTGTGCTTTCTTTGCTACCTCTATTTTTACAACAACTTGAACAGTTCTGGACACACCACCTGTGTTATTGTTGAAACATCACCCGGGGGCCATGTACACAGCTGAACATGCATTATATATTTTTTGTAAAAATATAAATGAATACATTAATTTTGTTGTGAGTTTAAGTTTCCTGTTAAAGCCAAGTATCAGAGTATCAGAGGTTCAATCATCAGCAAACCAAGCTTGCAGAGGAAAACAGCCAAATGCAAAAGCAACAGACTGACTGGATTGTATCAACTGAAGCAGTCAAAGAAACTGCAGTGAGAGGTTGCCAAAACACAGGACAGTAAACCCAAGAGCCATACCATTTTAAAGTTTGAATTAACAACCGCCTTGCTCCAAAGGCTTCTGAGTGCAAGGGGCTTGCTGATAATTATTCTGGATCTCTTAGAATCAAATGTAAATTCAAAGCTCTAAAAATATATATATATATATATATATATATATATATATATATATATATATATATATATATATATATATATTATTATTATTTTGCACATTTTATTAAGATTTTCACCTGGTGTACATCAGCCAGCATATAACACAAATGTAAACACATAAAGCGGTACACTACCAGACTCCCACCCAAAATCCCTCCCGCATGCACCAAAACGTCCTTTGAAAAATACACGATGGTTTTACAACAAATCCAAGATAGAAAAATAAAGTTAATAATAAAAATTCATAACCCAACAATCAACTGAAATAAAACAGAATAAACTGAAAACAAACAAACACACACACAGACACACAAACACACAATTCAGCGACAACATTTTAAAGAAAAACATAAGTATAAATTCATACGATTTTTTAATTTTTAAATGTGTCAAATCTGATGGGTCAGCGTGATACATTTTAGTAAAGCTGATGAATCTTTGTTAATTACTAAGTGCTGAACTGTCTGTCTGACAATCTTACATTTAAAACTCGCCAAATTCCAGGAGCTCATTAAAAAATGTATTTGCAAACATTCAAAAATAAAAGTACCATGAACCAGAATCTACAGCTGAGTAATTGTACATACAATCACTCACTTGTTCTCCCTTTATCTCAAATGCAGAAGTTTAAATCATTCAATAACTTTACTGTTGCTTTCAGCTGACAAAACTGAGGGAGGGGCTGCAGAGCCTATAGGATTAGTTGTGAAATAAGTCGATATTGAGGCTGAGAGATTAAGCTATAAGTTGGTTTGACAAGAAAAGGCCTGACCCTGTCTGAATGCCTAATCAAACATTTATTCAAGATAGAGACTCATAATGACAGACACAGGCATTTGGGTTAAGCCTTTATGAATGTTCTTTCAGTGGTATTTCAAACACAATTTGTAGTTTTCTGACTCATAAACAGCTGAAAAATAGATGATTTGAAAAATAGATGATTAAAAACAGATGAAAACAACCTCAGACACAAAAAGTACAAGTAAAGAGAGAAAAAGCAGTGGTTGATAGAGCCAAATGAGTTCGGTTTCTCTGGGTCCATGATATGTCTGACTGAAAACTGTGAGAAATATCCTCAAAAAAGATCCACATAGTGACTTTAAGGAGAAGAAATTGTGTTGTAAAGGTAAGATTATTCACAATTAGCAGCAGAGTGATCGCACATGTAGAACAAGGAAACTTTAAAGTGGTGTAACTTCACTGTTACGCCTTTTAAGAGACCAACAATTTCTCATCCAACTTTCACACTTTATTTGGAGACACCAGACTCAAGAAAAGGGGTTTTGTTATTCCCAATAAATGACATTGAATCTGAAGCTTAAAGAAGCAGCCAAACTGGAATTTCAATGCATAATAATTTCCATAGACACTACCCAATATCATGAAAACTCAACATCCACACTGATACTGAAAGTCTGCACAGTTTTGCAAGTAACTTTTTTGCACACTGAGACCAGAATGTTTGTATGTTTTCCTACTTAGGAATAAGCAGACTTGTGCCATGTCACCTGACTCATAATCCCAGTAAAAAATAATTTACACGAAAGAATTACAGAATTATTAAAATCATTTTGGTTACTTTTCAGACACACAAACACCCTCTTCAGTCAGTTTTTCCTCCAGCAGTTTCTATCTTTTGTCATCATTCAGAGAGAAAAAAAAGAGTTGGCCGCATTTTTTCTTAGATTAGTGGCCCAGACACAATGTGAGTGAAATGTGAGATGTGAAAAGACATAGCTGTACCTCCCATGAGAGGAATATGTGTCATCATCTCTCATTTCACCAAAATGTACATTTTTTGCATGGCACAGTTACTCAAAGAGTTCACGATCCATTCTCAATTAACACAATAGAAACAAATATTTCTGCTTTTAAGAGACTGCATGGTAGCTTTGGTCATGGGGTCCACTTATATGATAAAATATATTTTTTTGGTTTAAACAGATAATGTCAAAGTGGTTATTTGTTAGCAAAAATATGACCAGCCAAGGCCACAGATATTGACTGTAGCTGCTTTTCCTATACTGTTTTGGTTCAATATGCATAAATTTGTAAAAGTTAGTGACCTCTTCAACTTTTGAAATGAATTCCACAACACAAGGTTGAATTTTATGAAAATCTTCAAAGTCTGTAGAGCTACATTTTTAAAACACATTCACTGCTAACCTTTAGAAATTAATGCACAAAGAGAAAAATCTTATTGATACAGGCTTCAAGGTCAGCTTCTCTGTCCTCTGCCCACTTACCAGCTCAGGCAGGAAGAATATATCTGGGGCCGTGGTGCAGATCCCCATTCCGCTGGGCAGGCTCCCCATAGGCTGAGCCGTGGTTGCAGCCATCTCTGCCTGTTCCTTCACCCTGTGCTGAGTCTGCAGCCACAACCAGCCCTCTCCTCTTAACTAACGGAGCAGCAACAGGTGTTACTGACTCTTATAGCTGAGCTAAGGAAGCAGACAAACCCGTTCTTCTGTCCCTTCCCACAACAGCTCATTGAAGCAGACACTCCCTCCATCCTTCAGTGCCTGAGGCTACCTGTGTTTAAAGTGAGCTGGTGAACTGTGAAGAGATTTTTGAAGAACTAGATGAGGAATTTTTGTACCCCTTGGCTACAGTCAATCACATGTAGTTAAACTACCTTTGTTGTCACAGCTGAGTAAAGAAACAGCTCATAGACTTTGGATTTATGCTAACTTTACGACCCTTTACATCATAGGGTCCGTGTGCCATTAGCTTGTATTTATACTGCACACAGAGGCTATAACAGGAATGTCTGCTTTTAATGTCGATACTGCTTATTTGCATCAGCAACAAGTTTAAGACCAATACTTTTTATTTAGTATTTTAAAGTAATTCTAAAGAAATTTCTGATAATGCGCTTTTTTTTTGTATCTTATATGATGTCTGTGAAGTGCTGCTTGTGTTGTGACCATCAAAACTGTAGCGTTAACTTGACTTTTAGTCATGAAACCATTTGTATTGTCTGAGGATTGTTTTTGAATTTGTCTTGGGGAAAAATTTACTTGTCTTTTTCACCTATAAATGCTATGGAAGCGTATTGCATTCACTTACAAAAAAAAGTAAACTGTTTTTTATTTTTTTTATTTGCTGTTTTGCAGATGAACTTTTTTTCTTTTTTTCTTCTGTTTTTTATACTCATATTTTTCCCCCTTTATGTTTTTTAGACCAATTTTATTCTGTTTTTCGCGCTACTTTTTTTCCTGTCTTTCTGTTTTTCTGACTATTTTTTTTCTCTAACTAAACAAGATACTTCAAAATCCTGCGAGAATCCCATACAATCAGATAACGTTAACCACCACAGCTGCTCCAAATCAGCTCCTAGATAACTTTGACTACAGGGTCAATGAGAGTAAAGCATGTTATTAGTTAAACATAGGGTATGCAAATCCTAAGGTGCCTGCACAAACTAGACAATTTGTGATGATTCCATCTATCTGACTTAAAGAAAGGAGTATCTCCCAGTGTGTCAACCCCCCCAAAAAGTAAAACTTGATTAAACTAAACAAGTGGGCCATGTTTGCTTCCAATAAATTGAATAGAGGGGGATGACAGTGTTTGTTTTTAAATTATCATGATCCCAGAGAATAGGAAAAACAATAAGTCTGAAAAACAGAAAAGAAAAAAGCAATTACTCTAAAAAACAGAAAGAAATTACACTGAAGAATAGAACAGAAAAACATAACTCAGAAAAACAGAGCTTTTATTCATTTTATTTATTTTGGTGAATGCAATACCCTTCCGTTAAACGCACTGGTTATGTGTTTTGTTTTTTTTGTGTGTTTTTTTTCTGTGAAACAGACATGTATTGTCCCCTAACTCTGCAGTCCTGATCAGTGTTTTGGCAACTTTCAGCTCTTTGTTTTGGTTTGGTCCTACTTTTCTTTTTAACTTGCATCAAGCCAAAGAATCCAGCAGAAAGGTATGAGTAACCCAAAATCTACGGTACATTAAGATATGTTTCTCTGGAGTTTCTTTCAAACCAAACCTAGGCTTCTGTCAGGGGTAAATATTCTTAGTACATACAGAGTCTCGAAATGATGGCTGATATTGTTTAAGATGCGGGGCAGTGCTGTCACTCTTCTCTAGACTACCCCCCTGTGGACAAAAATTTAAAATGTTGCTGTAAATCACATATAAGAAATTGTAAATCAAGCTTGGTTTAGTTTTATACTCTGCAGATGATTTTAATATCTGAATGCACAAATAATCAGCATGCTTTTATGATTTATGGAGATTAAGGAGTATTTTTCATGGAAAGAAACAACTCTTAAATAAAGTTGAGATTAGAAGCTTCAAACACATACTTTAACCCTTGCTTTAAAAAAAAACATATCAGATGGTTGAAAAAGTTTAAATTGTCATATGATTTGGAATTATGTAACCAGTGTTTTAAAGTCAAAGTGGGGGTGTTTTATAGATATTTTTATTGTCTTAATTCTTCAAAGTTTAAGATAGGAAAAAATAAATGACACAGAGATTGAATGTACCATTAATTTATTGCAAATCATAGATCCAAAAACATACTTTTAAAGTGACAAAAACATACTTGTTAAGTGGAATTTTGTAATATTTACATTCTTATATCATCAGGTAAATGTTCATGTAAATTCCAAAGAATAAATTGTGCTGACAAGCCTAAGAAATACAGTGTACTAGCAATTGTGTCATAAAGAAGAGCAAGGATTATAATGAGGGGTTGTTTTTTTTGACATATTTCTTTTGTTTTCAATAACAGAAAATATGCAGAAAATATAGAGTGTTTCATTTTCCATATTCCCAGGTTTTTGGATTTATGAAAGGATCTGCTTTCTGAATAATGCACGTCTCCTGGGCTTTATTAGAAATTTGAATTTGAACTTCTTTCTATCACAGATCTCAATTACAACATAATATTTTCACTTGCATAAAACTGCTACCTTTCTGAACAAGAAAGAGAAATGATGATGATGATGATGATGGGTAATTATCATTAGGGTAATGACGTGTAGGCCTGTCTGGTAATCTATGGCAAAACCTAATGTACTTGTGAATAACCCGCTTGCATTCCTCTCGTTTATTTATTAAATGTTTAGGACAGAAAGTAAAGTAAAGTTACTCTTCATAACATAAATTTGACAATAAAAAAATAGAAAAGGTTGTGGTTCTGTGGTTTGTCCAACAACAGATCAGCTGGTGATTTGGTGTCTCTCTACTCTTCCTCTTCTGAGTTTGTGTTTTAGGACCTCTTCCATCTGATGCCCGAGAAAATAGCATGGAGGAAGTAGAGGAGAGTGGCCACAGAGCACATCACCTGCAAACACAGAGAGAGAGTAAGAGAGAGAGTGAGAGAGAGAGAGAGAGAGATGGACCATGATAGTCAATTAAGTTACTTTTATCAAATATAATAAGCGCGCGCGTGTGTGTGTGTGTGTGTGTGTGTGTGTGTGTGTGTGTGTGTGTGTGTTTGACATACCACAGCAGCAATGTCCAGACGGTAGACTTTGAGGTTTTCAGCTGAACTTAGACTCGTTATAACTGGGAGCCCCCCCACAATCGTGATACCCCACCCTTTCAAAACAGTGATGTAAGCCAGATCCACCAAGGCGCTGAGGTAAAAAACTGCTGCCACAAAATGATAACCCACATCCTGCAGTACAGATGAGGAAAAAGAGAAAAACAGGAACAAAATAAAGTCAGAAAAAAACAGAATTTGGACAACTGAAGTGAACATAGAGCAAGAAAAAAGAAACTGTTGTTTATGAATATAAAACAGGACATGTATTAAAGACAGGACACAAAGCTATTGTTCAAAGTGACCTTTACAAATGGAGTGGGCGAGCAGTTTATTTAACAGACTGAGCTTCATCCTGTTGTTGTTGCATTTAAGCTGTCAAGGTTGCTTCAAACTATATTGTTTTTCTGGAAACTGTTTGGGTTCACATCGATCTAATCCATACCTCTTCAACAGAATTAATCTAATTTTGAACACAATGAGTACACAGCCTTAAATGAAAACTTTTTGACAGATGTGTTAATTAAAATATTTGACATGAATTTAAACACAGCAGGACCACAGCAGGCTCCTCATAACTGCCAGCTGTTGGTTTTTGCAGACAGTCATCATCTGTCAATCGTAGACTGTGACAGCTCTTAATAACAAACTTATAAAGCCAACATAAGCACTGTGACCCGGTGAAAATCACAGACTCCTGTTACCTACTGTTCAAGGTAACTAACTCTTAAAAGAAAAGGCTTGCTGTAAAATACTTCTGCTGGAAACTTAATGAAAAGTTGTAAGTTTGAAGCTAATGCCAGTGTTTGTTTATTTACATAGAAAGTCTTTTATAGGGGCAGAATATTTCCTGCAGAAACAAATCATACCAGACCTCTCTGCCATCCCAATTTCCATGAAGTAATAATCATCATCATAATAATTTTGCACTGCAGACGCAGTAGTTCTTCTGCCTTAGCATCTCGATCTGATTGCATTCCCATGAAGTAATGATCATAATTGTTTTCTTTGAGCTGTGAAACTCTGCTGAACTCGGTGATCAACTCGTTAGGGCCCCCCTCACAAACAAGCGGCTGCTGGAAGAGAGTGGGTGAATTGTGTTTCGTCTCTTTGCTAAAGAATCCAGGAAGAGCTAAAAAGATGTTTAATGGCTGGTACTATGGCTGGGACCCTATATGTACTGTTGATGAAGTTAGGTGCTGTTCTGAGCATTATTTGTGGCTATAGAGTGGCTTTTTGGTTGAGGTTTACACATAGAGACGTATACAACTATGTATTTCTATCATGCGGTCGTTGCTGAGGTTGGTGGAACCAGAGAAGCAAGCAGTCGGAAAAATTAATCTCTTGGTGGGGGGGGGTCTAACTCTGTGTTACGTTATGTTCGACCATGGCTTAAACTCAGGCTGGAATGTCCTTTTAATTTGCTATTCTGTGAAATGTGTAAATTAAGTTATTTGTGTCCTGTACATCAGCCAAGAGGCATGTTGTTGGCATGTCTCACCAGGGAGGGCCAGACGCTGCTCTGATTGGCTCCACAGAGGAAAATTAAGAACCACAGCGTCGTCAGTACAAAGCAGAAGACGGACACAAACATCACCCAGCCAAGGGGGTTGTCTGGAAAGACACGAGTGGATGCCACCAGGATCCACACCAGACCTCCGAAAACCTGTGGGTGACATAGAGGAGGGAGAAGCGAATTAAAATTAACTTTGTTTATTCCCTATATACAGTATTAACAATGCCTGCGGTGTTCAAAAGCATTACAGGTTTCTTTCCTGTTTATTTCATCTACAAAGTCTGTTGACTTTAATTTGATCAATTACAAATCACTAGGTATGAACCACCAATTTGGTCATTCAGAGGATTAGGACACAGCAGTGGTGTACAGTAAACCTTTTCAGCTAAAGAGTTGTTTGTTCTTTAATGCCATAGCTGGATATTTAGCTTGAAAATGCTTCACTGTCCTCTCTTGTAAGATGTTGTTTCTTTAAGTTAGTTGGTGGATTTTAATTTTTTTTTTTTTTTTAATCAAAAATAACCTAAACTAACTCAATGAGTGAGTCAAAGCAGTATAAGGTGAGCTGGGCAGTAACAAGAGGATTTGTAGAACTAGGTGAAAATGTTCTTTAAAGTGGTGATCATGTAGCAACTTATTTATGGATATGATCCGCAAACATGTCAGATATTTAGATTTAGATTTTTAGATTTAAAGTGAGAATTTTTAAAAAAGATTTCTCACCGGTGTGCCTTTAAAAAATTCAGTTTGTACTAAGGGTTGGGTCCAAGGACAACCCTTTCAAAACACCTGCACACACCCGTGATGTTGTCGCCCTTAGGTGAATAATATTCCACTCTCCTCCTTCGGCAAACACTCTTCTTCACACAGTCTTTGGCATTTTAAAGGAGAATAAAATGCCGGCATTGTCTCCGTGATAATACTCACTTAGGAACATTGTTTGGACAGTGTACAGGAAAACCATCAAGTGGCCTTTACTTTTATTGACCTATAACACCATTAAAAATGACTCTCGTGTTCGTCATTTGATTTTTCCAGCAGGGTAGTTTAGGGTTGTCCTCAAAGATGCAGCTACAGCTGTGATGAATAGTAAATGTCTTACGCGAGTCTTAAGTAATGATCCAAGCAGTGGAGATAGAGGGATCACACTAGAATCAACCAAATGACCTAAAAAAACTGAATCAATGAAAACTACATCAACAAATAGATCCTTGTTGTTAAGACCCACTCCAGTGAAAATCATGTTTTTCTTGTTTTCTACATGTTCATATGGCAATTTTTTCTGATGCTACAGGACACATCATGAGAAAAATAAGTGCAAAATTCCTTTTCTGAGTATTTCTGCATTCAAATCACTGTAAATCTCTGGCAGACCCAAACTGCAGGTTCAGATACAGTTAGATTTCCTACGTAGCAAATGCAAGCTCCACCCCCGGAGTCCTCAGGCCAGACTCGGAGAAATAGAGAGGACAATCATGGAACAAGTGTGTGCGTTAGTGGATTGCAATACTCCTAAAAAAGCTAATTATGATATTAACTTTCATTGTGTCCCGAAAGATATTAGTGTCCGAGGGCTGAATAGCTCCTATGTAACCTGCTTCTTCTACTACACCGGCAATGTTAGGCTGCAAGCTAGTGTGAAGAGGAGTGTCGGAGCAGCACTGTCTCAGCCCACGACTCAGAGGTGAATTGCTAATGAGCTACTGGAGCTCTGCAGAAGAAAAGCTCTTGAAAATGACACGTTAATGTGATTTTGGCTAAATACTTAATGATCACAACTTAAAGACCACTGATAATACTTTTAGTAAAAAAACAAAACAAAAAAACAATGGGAGTGGGATAAGCACATGTGGAGAATATAACTACTGTCACAGTTTCTCTGAGGAAGTAAATCTTGGAGATGTATTCCTGGAATCAAAATATATGACCTTTTTCCATTGTGCACTTCCTGGTACAAAGCAAAACTGGTTCATGTAAAACTCTTAGATGTGTTCTTAAGAGCTCAGTCCCTTCAACTTTGTGTTAATGTAGTAAGAGTAGGTTCCATTCAGCTGTGTCAGCTAATCAGATACTATCTGAAAGACTGAAAAGATCTTTTTAACTCAGAAGAAACATTCAGTCTGACCTTATATAATAGATCTACTCCACCCTAAAGGTATTCTTTCTCATTTTAAATAAGTGCAAGCAACATCTACAATCTTGACTAGTTTAGATCTTAGACACAGAAAACCACGGTCTACATTCAAGTGATAGGTTGTTTAAAATCTTTCAAAGTCATTTCAAAAAAGTTTAAAAGTTTATTTTGAATTTATCTTGAGTGAAAGTTTAATGTACAAAGTCCTCTCATGCCCACTACACTCCCTTTACATTCATCCATGGAAGAAAACTATATCATTCAAATATAGCGGTCAAAATGAAAGGTGAAAAAAGTTGATGTAATGTTTTTTGCAGAGAAACTTGTTTATATTGAGAAAGCCTGATCTCGACCACTCAGGAACATTACTCAGTGTTATCCTTTCCTTCTGCACTCTATAATCCTGCAAGCAAAACTAGCATCAAAATATCAACATGCCAAAGTCTTTTGGAACCTCCTGCAGCAAAATCCACAACTTTGCTGATGATACATACAAATACAATAAACACCATCTTCAAACAACCAATAGCTCCATGTTCTGCTTTTGTTAGAGTTGTACTGCAGTATTGAAACAAATGTATGGATAGGTTTGCATTCCTTACCTCAGTTTCTACACAATACCATTGTTTGTTTTGTATGATACCTTATGGAAAACCAGTACATTTCCATACCCGAACAACAGCAGCCTGTTTTGTTAAAGGGTGCACTGGCAAGCAGCCAGAAAAAAAAGACCCAAGACAGTAAGTAAACGGTGTGAGATGATGGTTGGTTTAGATTTACACCTCCCTCTGCAACTAAAGCTGTTTTTCCACTAGTGTCAGCCTCTGAGATTTTATCTTCAGTTCGCGGAAACTGCAGGTTGTTTCGGACAGATCCACTAAAATGTAGGGTGACCATATTTTGAATCCTTAAAAAGGGGACACTACTACGTGGGGTGGAGTCACGTGTAGTGAATTTTAAGGTTTTTTCAGGTCTGGTCAAGTGTTTTTTACATGCATCTAACTCAGTTAGTCAGCGCTACACAAACTCAAAACTTCCATTCAAGACCTTATTCATACATCCTCTTTTACCTGAATATAAATGGTCACCCTACTTAAATTGGATCTGTATGTGTTTCAAATCCTTCAAAGAACATAGCTAAGGAGTTTTCACCTCTATAAGGACAGACACACCTCATGTCAAACATCAATGACACAAGCCAAAAAAGAGACCTGTCTGACTTGACAAGTGTCTCGAAGTGTAAATACACGACAAAAAACATGGATAATTGGCCAATGTTTGACTTGACCAGATCTAGTTAGCCAACGTCTGTGCTGTGATTCAAACACTGTTGGCTAAAGTTCCTTCTCTCTGTGTCTTCAAACATTTGCTGTCTACTCTTTGCTGCGAAGTTGACATTTCTACTGTCACATGCCATTTAAACCTTTTCTGAGCTATTTTCCCCTCAGCCCACACTCATACATAACCTTAAAACTCCCTTTTCAGCAAATACATTTCACACTATTAACTTCAAAGTAACAAAACCAGTTGACCTAGACCCCAATTTCTCAAGTGTCCCACAACTGACACTACAGATATTAAAACCACATCTACACTATACATGTTTAGGACACTTTGTTGTTGCTAATAGTATCATCTTTTTGCTGATTTACCAAATTGACCCTCAAATGAGCTGTTTTTAAACTTAAGCTTTAATTTTTTCCCATAAATTTGCTGCTTTATTAAGCTGTTAAATGACTGTTTTTATCAAAATAATTCTCTGTCCCTCTGCAGACCCTAATCAGGACAGCAACCATATCCACACCAAGAGGCTACTTTTGATGTTGAAAAATGAAGCCAATATGATGTGCAAAAAACTTGCTGTTCTTTGAGTGTCCTCTTGTCTTGGTTTGCCAATTTGCCTCGTTTTAATTTAGCTTACTTCAAATCCAAATTAGACCTCCATTAGACACATTTTTACAGCAGAATTGATTACATCCACACCTTTTTGTGTGAACTGGAGTATTTTTTTTCTTATTCAAATCATCCCTTTTTGTCTCTTAAAGACTCCTAAAGAAGAATCCATGGACTGATGCTGCTGAGACTAGGCCCATGTTTTATCAGATCTATGGTTAACATCTGCACAGAGCCTTTTCTCTATTCTCCATGTAGAAGTATGCCTGTACAAGCATACAAAAGTGTGTGTTTCTGTTACCCAGCATGTATGCAATATATAAAACCGGACCCACCCAGCAAAAAGTGGTTCAAAAGACATTGAAAGGATGTCTTCACCATACGTCCAAACAATGTTTATATTTGGACCGTCAAAATGAAGCCAAGTTTTCAACACATTTTTTGGGGCTAAATTGTGGCCATGATGGGCCAACGTGATTTAGCCTGATAGAAGACGTCTAAATGATGTTGGGTGTTCGGTGGGTAAGGACAGTACAATTGCTAACATAGTTACCCACAATGGGCAAAAATGTGGTGGCTGAAAAAAGCCACCCTCAAAAATTCTCCATATAATTCATGTTCTTTGTTTTAAATGTTGGTGTAAAAGTAGACTTTTGCACCAAATATTTTATTGGTTCCCCTTTTTTTAGTTGTATTAAAGTTTCTGTTTTCATGTTGCTGTGGTGACGTATCTTTTTCATCGGCAACACTGTGCCCCCATGGGAACAACTGTCATCCCAAACTAAACAGTTGCCAAGCCCAACACAGTTTGTGAACCTGTGCCAAAAGTTGTGAGGACAAGATGAAAAGTACACATATGTTTACATTAAGATAAACAGTCTTTAACTAAACTCAAAGTTACAACAGTGGGAAGAGTTTGACTAAATCCCAAACAGGCCTAATTACACATCTTCAAAGACATTTATAACCTGTGCTGTAATTTAGTAGTTTGAGTAGCTGATTACTCCCTAGTTTGATTAGCTTATCTAGTAATTATTGGAAAAGACCACACCTCCCACCCAACCATTGCCGATGGTTTGGTGGCCACTGTCCTGACCCACTTATCAAATCCTGAAGCCTACTACAAACATAACGTGAAGAGTGTGAGCTCTGTCTGAAACAAAGATGATAAGGAAGCAAAGAGTCAAGGATTTAAGATCATGATTTGAATGATGCTGAATTTACAAGTTGGAAACAGAAAAGTCATCTCTTTTGCAGTAGCTCAAATGGGTAAGCAGAATAAATAGAGAGGTTAGAACCAAGGCTTAAACAGGGTATTGATATAATCAGTAAAATGCCATAAACAGAAAGAAAAAAAAACTCACAAATTCGGGGATGTAGAAAATGTCAGGAATTGAGAGGAAGATCCTGCCACCTGAAGGGAGGACATCAACAGCGGTGGTGGAAGCCATAGTCCAGAACACAATAAACTGTGTGTATGTGTGTGTGTATGGGTGATTTCAACCAAAATGAGGTGTACATCCTGTTTTAATCTGCTTTTTAAAGGCAGTCTTTCTTTCCCCTTCTCTCTCCTCCCTCCAAGTCTCCTCCACTCCTACCCCATCCACTCCTCTGCTCGAAACCATACCAGTTTGACAGGTGCTTTTCAGCCTTGTTTGCGCAGCAGGAGGATGTCTCAGCTGTGTGTGTGTGTGTGCATGTGTCCGTGTGTGCGTGTGCGTGTGCACATTTCCATGTGTGTGTGTGTGAGGCTCTAATGTGCTTGCCTCTGCCCTCATTTGTTTATAGTGTTTTGTGTGTGTCCCTGTAAATGGCAACGAACCCGTTTACATGCATACAAAAAAGTGATTGTGAGGCAACTCCTGCAGCTTTCATGTGGGATGTGAGGAGTTGCAGGTAAAACGTCATGAACTATGACACACACTTGTAAAATAAAACTGTGTCATGTAACTCAAGATGTTTGAGATTCAGGGATAATGAAAATTGTGGTTGCACCTTTGCAAGTTTTATATTAGTTTCAGCGAGGTCTTATTGTCTGTTTGAAGTTTAGCACTACACAAAATATTCTCTGATGAGGCTCTTCTCTTTTCTTTTTTCCTCAGCCAGGTTTTTGGAAGTGGCTCTTGAAATGAAAAAATACAGATAATTTGCTTAAATGACATTACAATAGAATATTTCTTAAACTTTTACTTACCCCCTAAAGGCAGATTTGCTCTGTATTGTATCCAGTATTGTATCCAATGCTGGTAAGAGTACAATGACTTAATTCAAATAGTTTATTTGTAAGTGCTGTGTATGTGATAATGTCTTTGTCATCGATGTGTTGTTATGCGAAACAAATGTATGTATTCTTTTTCATTTACACATCTATTTTCATGGGAGTTGAAGCCTGTCGCTATCACACCCCTCTCTATTCAAATCATCTACCTTTCAGCAATCACTGTCACTCACTACTTAACATGCCTCTGAGAACAGATTCCAACTTTTCAGCCATTATGGTGAAATGAGCTGTGATGAAAACTTCCTTCGATGTTGTATGTATATCTGCAACATAAACAGTGATATTTTGGGGTCCATTACAATCCCAATGATGGCACCTACTTAGCCATATTAAATACTCGTAGGACTCAGCTCACCAGAAGACACACATACCCTTCACCCCAGTTAACTTCATCGGTATAAAAAAATGTTGAACTTCAAAACAAAAAACAAACAAAAAAACAATTGTTGTGTGAATTACTTAGAGTTAAGTGTCTGTAGTTTGTGGGATCAACGGCATACCGGCATACTGATAAGGATTTATAAAAAGTACAACTACTGATTTTTTTAGGTTTTCCTGAAGAAAAAAAAAAGTATGACATGCTTGCTGGTTGAACAGGTGTCATAGCAATTCTGATGCATTTCAGGAAGTCAGGGAATCTAATCACTATAGGCTTTCTGTAACGGCATTAAATAGATTTGTTGCTGAAATCCTGATCAAATTGTTGATATGGACCATGATGTCATCAGTGCAGTGTGCATTTCACCTTCTTTTGTCGCTACATGGATTGTTTCTACTGCACACACTGGGGTGTTCAAAAACACAACTGATCAATACAATTCAGACTGCAAACATACTACAAATGAAAACAGGAAAACTTCCCATGTTGAGAATCCTGACACATGTGAACAGATTGCTCATGAAAATGCAGAATCTGTTCACAAAGATTATCCAGTCCAGATCTGGGATGTAGATGACGTCTCAGAGTATAGGCTTAAAACTTCCTTTTTGATAAAGCCTACAGTTGTGGTAGCCACATGCTTGAAGCAACTTGTGTTTATACTAAAGCAGAAATCTTTTGAGGAGTGCTTGAGAAGGAAAACCAAGGCAGTCATGCTAAAAACTGCAGTTCCTTAAGTCTTCTTCTGCTCGTTATTACGTCTACCAAAAGGTTAAGTCAGAATTTCCATTATGACATCTGCCATTGATAGGCTTCAAAACTCTCATGGAAATAATGGATGGCATTTGATTTATCAGGGTTTGACTTTGGTGGGACCTAGGACTCCCTCCTCCACAGTTCATCTCCCCTTCTTTTTAAGTGTGTCCACTAACATATCAATCAATACATGTCACTAACTTGTTATCTCCTGTTATTCAACTTCAGTTCCATAAAAGCTGGGACACTGTATAAAATCTCAATAAAACTGGGTTTGACGGTCTACATCAGATAAGTGAAGATAAACCTTCAGTCATCCCGCCATGGGAAAATTTGCAGTTTTACAGAAGCCAAGGATCAGCACAGCAAACATGGAAGAATAAGTACACTCAGCACGCACACAGTGCACAGATTATTACAATTATATAATTAGCCATTACAGGCTAAACAGTTGGGAGTAACTTCAAGTTTTTGTTCATAATGCTTTTTTTTTTTTTTTTCAGAATGAATTGGCTCTTTCAGTCAGAAAAGCGCGTCCCATGAATCAGCAGTCTACTTTTAATGAACTTAAGAAAGCTTGAAATGCAATCCTTGGAACATAAATTTAAAAACTTGTGGAACGAATGCCTGGTATATGCCAAGCTGTTGTTAAAGCCAGAGGAGGTTACTTTAAAGAAAGTAAAGTCGAAGCAACAATAACTCAAATACCTAATAATTATAGTCAAAGTGTCTTCTGATAAGTTACTCTTTACACAATAGTCATGTTTATTGTGTTGCAAATTATATGAATGAAACTATGATTTTTTTTGTACAAATCTGATCTTGCTTATACATTTAAAAAAGGTAACTCAGAGTGTACAAAAATGTTTCATAGTAAAGAGAGAAAAAAAATGTAAGCAACAACAAAACTAAAAATGGTTCTACACAGGGAACAAAAAAAAGAAGCAGACACATTGTTGTTGCACATTATTTGAGTTATTATACCTGAGAAAAAATGTAGGCATTTGCAATTGTAATGAATATCTAGCCTCCCAATACTGCACATTGAGGTAGCTTTGGGTTTTTGTGCTAAAAGTAAGTAGATGAGAAGAGATCTGATCTCCTCCTGTATGTACCACCAATGAAGATTCTGAAAGTTTGAAAAAATCTCTGTACTGAATAGATGAGACTAAAAACCAACACTGGATGACTAGGCTCTTAGGTGGCATTGTGTTAAGTACAGACATGACCTGCAACCTGAAGGCAGGTGCTAAAATATCTGATGAAAATAAGAAAATCTATTTTAATCCATCATTTAAAGCTTTTTTACACCACAAACACCTTATATTGCTTTCAAAGTGAAGAAAATTATCATAAAGATCCGCAGTTTGTAAATTTGAAGAATTGTACCTTGTTATAAGTGCTCTGTAAATATTACAATGTCTAAGTGAGATGACCGTCTTGGCATTTTAGAGTCCTTATCAACTAAATGAGAGCTTGAGTCTATATTATTTTTTGAAAACTGTACCGAGAGGTGTTTGCATGGAAACCCATGGGACTGCATTCCTGCTAAGTTAACTTGAAGGTCAAAATAAAAGGGATGGAGAGTGGGAGGGTCCGTTTGGTTTGTAAATGTAGAGGGTAATTGTGAGTGAGCCAGAAAGAATGATGGATCACAACAGCCGAAAGAGGATGGGCAACGGCAAACAGGGACACTCGTGTAGATGAATAGGTTGAGAGTGTAACAAGAGAACAAGCAAACAACAAACAGAGGGAAAGAGGTTGGGAGCGACTCAAATTTAATTCATTGCCTGTTACGCCATAGTTCTAACTTCATTGAAACTTAATATCAAAACCAGAGGAGACTTCAGAAACCATAAAATGAGTCAACAGGTTTCCTCTTGCAAAATAGTCACCTTTTTTTCCTCTTAATTGTGACTCAGATAAAGAGCATCCTGAAACTTAAATGGTGAGACTTTCCCCCCTCCTTGGATGTTCACAACAGATTTAAATGATCTTGGTAAGCTTGAGATCTTCAATGAATACTCTTTTTCCTGCGAAAATAACAGTAATAATCACATTATTACTGTCAAGTGTCAGGCTATAACTCATAATATGTATTACAACATTTAGGCTATTGAAATAAAAAATATGTACACAAAATGTTGGTACAACACCCTGGTCCTTTTTTAAATACCTGTTATGCAACTAACACTTCCTCTTATTTTGATTTTTTCATTTCCATATTTGCAGTTCTAGCCATCCTCCCAAAAATCTACATAAGATCAGTATAGATCTCTGCCTGTGTGAGGATACCCAAAGTGTGAACAACAGATTTAATCAGGCTCTTAACTAGCCTATCTTTTTTAATGACAAGCCAGATATAATCTTCTTACTGTCTTCTGAAGAATTAAGACTCGACACAGCCTCCAATCAAGCTGGGCTGTGCAAGCTCCAGGGATGCCGACAACTGGTTATCGCTGTCCCTGCACTCTATTATTGAGTTTTTAGGTTGAAATTTTGTCCCAGAAGAAAAAAGAAATGCTTTGTTGCTTTTTCATTTTGATATTCTCAGTATATTCGTTGGTAAACTTCAAGAAGCTAGCTAGTTTTGCACATACTGATAGCTATATGTTAACTTACAGCAGTTACAGTTAACTCTACTTAAACATTGACTTGACTTGTTCACTAAGACTATCAGTGTTCTAGCAAGTTAACGTAATGAGATACTGTTTCATAAGAGTATTAACAGCCAAATCATACAGTCTTTCAGGCTCGTAAGGCCGATAAATTGGTCAGCTTGCCATTTATAAATGAGCCAAGTTGATAAGCTAACATCAAGCTAAACATCAAATCCTCTCAAGCTAGCTGACAAACCTTAGCTTCTTTGCTTATATCAATGCTCGAATCAAATTGGTCATGTGAGATGGATTGGCTAACAGTATACTACACCAGCTAAGGTTATCTATGATGACAAACTTTCACAAGAGGTTAACAGTGTTAACAGACATTTAACCTATTAACCAGTTTAAGAAGGCATATCATGTTAGCTAGCT